CATATATATAGATTTCTTGATGTTTTCTCTTTGTTATGTGATTTTATCCTCTTTGCATACATATGTCTATATCAGAATAGAAAAAAACCTACATTCATTGTACGTCGCTTGTTAAGAAAAATGTTAATGACGTCACGACAGTAGTCGGCAATATCGTATAGAGGATATTGCATTTGTAAAAAGGCACTCGATATTTTCCCCTTTTCTTCTTTATAGGGCTTTGTGTAGATTTTCCGTTTTACATCTTTACAAAAAACAAGGCAAACAGATGGAAAGCACCGGTATGGCTGTCCTAGACGAATTTTTTAAAAATCGATAATTGTGTACTTAATTTTTATCTGTGGCTAACTAAATATCGAGTAGTACTGCTTCTATGATTGTTCGTATGTAAATACGGTCCTTAATAGGAGCTCTCTGCATGTCCGCGTAAGCACGACATTTTAGAAAGTTCATCTGTTAACGTTTTGTTACTGTTAAAGTAATATACAGATAGATACATATAATCACAATATATGAATCCCAAAATATTCCAATAGACAATGGAAAAATGCAGTGTTCGACTAGTGTAACAGTCTAGGACAGCGTTTTTCGGGATGACTTCTCTCTCGGTGGTAATTATATAGAGAAAGTTGGAGGACTGGTGTAAGCTCCAAATCGCAGCATATTTTTCCTCAAACCTTTTTTTTTTTGAAATACATTGTATGTGTTTAGGTATGTATATGTATATATATATATGTATATATCTTCATACATTCTTAGTAGGCACCATGGTTTGTCTTCATTCAGCATCTTCACATATATGTATGTAGCACCATTGTGAATTGCTGCTGCGCAAGTTACCCCTGGGCAGAAAATGTTCAGGCGGGTAACCCCCTGTTTTTGACATCGTTTACTGACTGGATGGAGCTTGCGGTCAGCACATTGGATCGCAAGGGAATAGTAAGCACTGAGTAAAATGTTTTTCCTTTTGTCCTTCATTTTGGATTGTTATGCCACACAGTGCGAGGAGCTGCTACTCTCGTCTTATTGATAGGATCCTCACAGGAAAGATGCATCGTCGTTGTCTGGGCGTGCGAACCGAACCTATGTACCAATGACTATTTCCACTCGTAGCCACTCGTATCGTCTACCTGGTTTGACCGCTAATAAGGTCGATATTGGTTCCCATGATGAGCTCCATAGCTCCATAGGGGATTCCTGCCGTTAGCGCTGTACGAGGTGTCACAGACGACATGGAAGAGATTGGGCTCACCGGAGAAACAGTAGATATTTTTGAAACTGAAGACGCTTGCGACGTAGCTGGCGCTGGGCCAGGCGATATAGCAGAAACAGGTGAAATCGATGGCGCAGCACTGGGAGTTGAGCTCCTGCCTCCACTTGAAGGCGATCGACAGTTGCGGACATCACTGAAAGGTCGATGGCGGTTCATGTGCAGCCGGAGGGTAGTTTTTCTCGAGGACCTTGAGTGTCAATGAAGAGCGAAGTATTTGAAATGTTATTTTGCATATCGAACTAGCATATACAGTTCACATTATTTATATTTGCCTGTTGCAGGGCCTGCAGTTAACGATTCATTAGTAGCACGTGTAAATGCGTACAGCGCATTAAACGAGTACCTTGTGAATATCCCAGAGAAGTGTTTTGTTCGTCGCATATACACTGTAGGAAAGGACTGACTGTCACAAATCGAATATACGACACTAAGTCATGTAAAACGCTCCCATTCATGTGGTCAGTATAAGATCATGATTGTCAATAAGCCCTAAATGCTCACCGTGCTTTACATTTACAACGAACAAATATTTTAAGACGCTCATTCCTTTTTATGCAAAGTGACTCGTAGAAAACGGTCAGCATTAGATCAGGAGCATTTACCTGTAGTCGCAGAATGGGCAGCCAAATGGCCGTTCGCCTGTGTGTTTCGAGCGAATGTGGTAAGTGACATTACCACGGTTCGATGACATATAACCGCAGAACTCGCAGCAATGCATTCCAGTAGCTCGGTCGGTTAAGATTCCATTGCTCGATAATACCGGTGAACTAAGGTCGAAGGGTGCAAGTGGGCCGGCTGAGCGATTTGAAGCTATCAGCTCCTCCTTCACAGTTGAAGTCACCACCGGTGCTAGATTTAGCCCTGCTCGTTGGAGATTCCGTAGACGAGGTTTGCCGACATAACAAGACAGTCAATAGCGACAACACAACACAACAAAACAAATGCAGAGCGGCACGAACGCGGAGGAACGGCAGCAACAGCAGCAGCAAGACCAATAACAATAACATACAAAACATTAGATAGCTGTTTAGGTTCTATTCACCTTCCGTAGGTTATATCCGCGAGCGACATGCCTAGATCATGCTACACGTTAGCACACAGATGTCACGAAATCGGATGATAGATATATCATATGGGTTTTGGAAGTCTTTAGAGAGGACAATGGGCAATCAATGTAATTTCTTCTTATCCGAAAGAAGGACTTAAATTCGAAAACAGTGAACAATTATTACAGGGAAAAAATACTGGGTGAACGTACAGTACACACATACAGGAAATATACGCCTGAGAGTTGGATGGTCGCATAGAGTGAGAGTTTAAGGTTTTAATTCCGTAAACAGAAATGGAATATTGAACAATATTCGTAAGGTTATCGTAGAAATATGACGGGATCAGCTAGGGCTAATCAGAGTAGAATACCATTTACAAATCCATCTGCTGTCGGAAACATCTACAGGTGGCTGAGCAATAAAAAAAAACTACCCATTATCCGCTTTTTCTTTCTTCAGACTTTTCTAGTCGCGTTCTCGTTTTCGATCACTTTCCTATAGTCTGTCATTCCTCATGCACTTCGTTTATCCGCTTTATTGTCATTCAAGGACTCCAGAGCAGGAAGCACTCGTAAGCTATCTGTTATATTTTTGATCAGGTGCCACGTCTGATCGCAGCATTGGAACGATTGCGAACAGTTACACAGCTTTGTCGTTTGTCACAGGCATTCATCGCAGTCCGTCCATTCACATCACAGTGTATTATACTATGTAGTGTAGGAACCAGTGTTCGTAAAGAAAAAGAACACAAGATAGCACGTGATCGTAGAAGAAGCTCAACAGAAGTAGGTTGACTATGAGCTTCATTACTGATCAACAATCAGATAAAAAGAAGATCGATTATCGCCGCATGCGATGCGCTGACTTAGTCGAGGAGGACAATCATGACATCGTATTAATAGAAATAATATTGATGGCAGTGATGATGATGCTGACGACGACGACAGTCGACCGGCAACCCAGTCACGGCAGAGAGTATAGGGCGTGTATCAGATTCGACGAACATGGTCTGAAATGAGAACCTCATATTAGAGTAGGTTTTGAACGTTCTAGTAATAAAACTTATAGGGATTATAAATACAGTCTGTGTACACACCTGCGAAGAGCCGGTACAATATATCTTATTGAACTGTGATCTACGTCACTTGTTCTTTAATAAAGATGCAATACTATTTTATGGTTTCTTACAGATAGAATACCCAGATTCTGGTACCGTTCTTCTTCACACTAAGTCAGGCCCGTCACAATTTCCGTCAGCTGGAGATGAAGTAATTGTTAGTTGTCAGCCAGGAAGGATTCTCGTTGAGGTCGGGAGCCCCATCGTATACGCTCTTAATCGGGGCGTAAGTACTTGCCAATCCGATGGCACGTGGAGTCACCGTTTTAACTGCGTTAAAAAAACCAATGACTGAAACTCGTCCTATTTTATATCAAATCATAGTCTGTTCATCTGGTGTGCTCGAAGACCAACGAGGCTTAATTGCTCTTTTTCTATGCAATTTAGGCCTACACAACTCATGCACGGTTAATAACTTTAACCACTTGTAAGTAATATCTGTAATGGACGTTAGTTGAAGTGGACGCTAACAAAAATAGCGAAAAAGTAGGATATAGATAATAAGAGAAAGTAACGAAACGACCGTAACATCAAGAATATTAGGGGCAATAGAATCCTGAAATTTCAATCATAGCAAATTGTACTCTTTACTTTGCTTGCAAGGGAGTATATCAGTTCCGATAAAAGCAGCACTCGCAGCAAGGCACACCCATTTAGTTCGAGCATCATAACGTTCAGTACTTCAATATGCTTAACGAAGACTGAACACTTCAGATGGCTAAGATATCACTTGGAAAGAGTGCGCATACGCTGATTGCCAAGAAGAATCGTTATCGTCCCTCATATGCTTATAAATAGCGTTATCGCGTTAGAAATGACAGTTTGCAACGCCCCCTTACTTCGTACCGTAACTTATTCAAAACCTTGAAAGTCCTTCTTTAAATCTTCTAATTTCCATTACCTAACTGACAATGATTCAAGAGTGAATGATACCTTTAGCGAACTGTGTCGTTTTGTATTAGTGACAGAGGGAAATCGTCCACCTTATATCAAAGTTACAAACACGTGGCATTTACTTTTTGAAAACAAGTTTTACGCTTTCCGTCTTTCTTAGTTCTAAAGTAATTCTCTTATTAGGACTCATTTGGCTTAGCTTAAATTTACCTTTAAATAAGCGGTACTAGAATCATTGAAACTACATGATGAAGCTATCACACGAAACAACTGTAAATCTTAAGTGCATTGTGAATCATATTATTCATATAATTATTACTGCTATCATTGTAGTCAGTTTTTTTTTTCAAATTTCTATACTTGGTTTAGTGGGCTAATCATCCATCGCTGGGCAACGTATCTGATTATCTTTACATAATTGGCTTTTATTGGGACAAGGTTGTCCTTACTCAAGGCCCTTGAGTGGGTAGCTGTCCCCCTGTCCTTCCTAAGAACTTCTGTAGGCTTCAGCGCTTTTTCGCGTTTAGGAAGAAGGCACGTTCCGTTGGCAGCAGTATCGCATAAAAGGTCAAGAGGACAGCAGTGTACTGTCCCCGAAAAAGAAACGACATCGGGCAAAAAAATACAATAAAATTGACGATGCACTTGCACCGGCCAACATATTTTCACTGGAATAAAAAGACACGGTTCTAATAAAATATATTAAAAAGATTTGCTGTATTTTGCAATTGCATACCATTGATGTTGCCGTTAATAACTTAAAATTAGGTATTTATGTCCACCTGTCAAACTAGGAACGCAAAAACTATCGAAATATTGTCTTCTTACAAAAATATAGAGTACAAGTCATGCTTGTGAAAAAGTTATTAGCTAATATATATAGTAGACTGGAGCAAAACTCACATTGTTCACAGGTTGTGTTTAGGTAGCATAAATCCTGGCAGTTGGCGATAATTGCAATACAGAAAAAATAAGAACTTGAGAAGCGTCGTCATTGCAGTGGCTCGTAGCTAGTCCAACTGAAACGAATACTTTGATGGTTAGTTTACTCTATGAAGCAAACAGGCACTTCAAAAGTCGATAATGAGCAACAGATATACGTAATGCAAAAGGAAAACACCATTGGTACTAACAAATATAGATTAGTCACATAATTTATTTACACATGGAATGTAAATATTAACGTTTATCCATTCGACATCATCGCCACTATAATTCCTCTAAATAAAAGCTACTTGTCCAATTCCGTGAGCCTCTGCCTTCTACAAATCAATGCCTAGAGGTGCCTGACCAGCTGTGGGAAATGTAAGCACTTCGGCCTTCATAAAGCTTAGGTCAGGAATCTTGTTTAAAACTTCCTTGGCAGCATCACTTAACTTCTCCTGTCCACTAATATTCGGACTTTCGGCAGGGTTCTGTCCCATGCTGGGACTGCTATTCTCCTTTACGAAAAGACTACTTTGCTTGACGGGCTGTAAGAACGCCTTGCTGAAGCAATCGATAGCGAAGCGGGGACAATTAGCTGGCGTTTCGTTAATACAAAGAGCACTTAGCAAACCCTTACGTGTCATACTATTATCATACCGAAACACGACACACGGCCAATTGTCAACATTTTCGCAGCGAGACAAGTCTCGCTTGACGCTAGCGACAAAACTCGCGCCATCGACATTTTCCGTTTCAGAATGTATATGTCGCTTATCATCGATGTTTTCGGTATCTTCGGTGGTAAAAATTGCGCTGATGGTGGCTCGAAACAGGTCAATAGTCAAAGGCCGTACCTCATCTGAGAAAGTCGTATTCCCTGGACACGATAACAACACACTGGAAGTTATAGGCGAGGGAGCAGCCTTGAAGTTTGCAAATCCTTCTGAAAATCCTTCGTTAAACGCGGCCTGGTCAAAATCACCGAAATCATCATCAATCGATTCGCCTTCAATAGTCTGCTGCTCATTTAAACACGTAATTCCGTTGACTGTTAGCAATGGCAAAGGTTGAACATCGCATCCAGCCTCTGGCCCACTAAACTCCCGAAAGTCATCTTTGATATCACTGAGGTTTCCTGTGTTTCCGTTTTCCTCATGGCCTTTTTTCGGTTCGACTGGAAGTCCTTTCGTACTGGCAAGTTGTTCTTCGCTAACTAGGTTACATTGCTCGGTCTGTTCACGTTCCACGACGGTGTCAACAGCATTTCGAAGAAGCACCCTAATCACGTCTCTATCAGCATTTATCCCATCACAGGTTTCGTCAACGGCGGAATCTTTTGATGAACGGTGATGATCCCAACATGATCGAGCTTCGTTCACACTATGGGCCATATTATCGATGACATCGCGTTTAGTTGCCAAAAACGTCGAGTCGCTTCTTCCCTCTTGATACAGAGAACTTTGTGGAGACGAAGACACCCCACCTATTTTGCTACTCTGTAGTGAAGATGTTTCGTCTAACTTCCCCACACAGTCGCCAACTTTATTGGAAGCTGTACAACTTTTCGGATCCGGTTTCTTTGAACACGTATCATGTTGAACGGAAATACTCGCAGATGTATTCGAGATAGTATCACACTTGTCCTGTTGCACTTGTTTCACTGTGATGGGCTTAGCTGAGTCACATTGTACCGACGACGAGCTTAAATCAGTTTTTGTCAGCATTACACTTTTTTTAGGACCTTTCTGTATGGATAGCATCTCATTATTTCTAATCGTGGGTTCGTGAGATGCCGGTACTTGGAAATCTTCAAAATCTCCGAAATCGTCGATTTCTTCATCCATGGCTACAATTTCGACAACTGTAAGGAAACTGCTTTCGGGATACGTTACTCATCTGCAAACAAACACAAATACACAAACCTATTAGGGGCACTGGATCACCATATTTGCATAAACATTAGGATAGCACAGATATTAATTACAGTTACAATATAGTAAATCATGAAAAACATTTTCCACTGGTAGCTTGACAATTTATTTATTGTATTAATTTTGATTATATACGTAATGTCGTATTTCTACCCTTCATTAGAATTGGAATACCCTTGTTATTGTTGATCAGTTGATCATAATTTATATCATCATTACCGTACGCTTTCCTTAAGCTGTTCATGGGCATTCCTATATATATATATATACCTTTGTCTACATATAGACGCGTCTCACTCACATCACAGACTTATGTTATTAGATTCGTCCTTCGCAGTATCCTTGAACCATCATCACATCATAGTGTACATAGTGAAAAGGTCGCGGAGCATCTCATATCGCACGTGTCTTGCAGTATTGGCTCTTTTTTTCGATTTAGTCTTTTTTTTCAATACGCACGAACAATAAGATCGTTTCTTAGTATTGTTTTGCAGGAGACATGAACATGTTTTAATCCACGAAACTATCGGTGCCGTTTGATTCGCAATACAGAACGCGATACAAGTTCGACAAACATCAAGTTCAACCCTGCCAAGACCACGAATATATATGTGTATTTATGCATGTATGTATGTATATATATATATATATATGTCCAAATCTAATGACGGTTTTATGTGTTCCATGAGAAAGATATTAAAAGTTTTTTTCTTTGGTCGATTTGATCGACTACCTTATTGGCGTCGATGTATCAACAGAATACTAGAGTATATATTAGCACTCATTAGGTGAATGCAATCAGTTCCCCTACCACGGTTACTATAGTATATTGTAATCTGAAGGTCATGTAACTTCTACAGTTAATTAGAGTTCACTTATTTCATCTTACATTTATACTAATTTTCGCATGACTCATTATGAAGGCGAAGTGAAGAAAGTTTACGCCCGTCAATTGCACAAACGTGTTAAATCAAGTGACTGATAGCAGGACGTGCGTCGGCTGACAGACCAGGTTCCGTGTCGTGTATGCCAATTTTAGGGCTTGTAGAGACAAACTTGATAAATGAATTGTTATTGGTAATTGATTGGCAAGTGGCTGTAGAGTACTTCTAGTGCCTTAGTTCCACGAAAAATTTTACTTTTATTCATTTCCGTCGCCACTCTCGTTATGATTATTCATTCGCTCATTATGCATCATATAATATTTTGCTATTACTGACATTTTCAAAAGGCAAATAGTTAGTTACCATCTTTTTCAGAGCTCAAGAATGTTCCATATGCACTGCTCTAACGCACCCGCGTATCTTGTCACATCATCATCCTTTCATCACCCACTAAACACGGAACCACGCTGATAATGTGCGTAGCGCCGTATGATTAGGCGAAACAAAAGAGGATTAATTACTTCTTCGCTTGATTTTTTTTTGTCTAAGTTGCGGCCGCGTTCAGCCGAAGGTAAAGAGAGAGCTAAGAGTTTGTCGAGCTTCCCTAGCGCTAATCTTCTTCACTTTCGGTGAGGTCCCTATCGAGATCACCGCGCTGCTCCAGTAGCTGTAGGACGTGGTCTACAGGGTGTGGTTTGCCGTCTTCACCGACCGAGCAAGGCTTAACGACTCCGCCGCGCGTCAGGCGATCCATTAGTTGAACCAGCTGCATAGCTTCGTATTCCTTCTGCTCTTGGGTCATTCCCTCTATTGGATGTGGCTTCGGTGCTTCGTAACATCCGAGTACAGGATTTATTGAATCCTTGTACTTCGTGTACTCCTCGGTGTCGCTGTTCTCACTCTCTGATGAATACTGCCCTTGGCCGCGCCCGCCCAACATCAGGCCACGGCTTGCAAGAAGGCCAGCCGCATTACCATAACCCGTATACTTGATAAGACGGCCCACTTTCTCTTTGCACAGAACGAAAAGCAGATCCGCCGCTGCGCACTTTACCTCGGTGAGGGGTGAAGTCATCAATCGGACGAGCTTGTTCCGCAAGGTGTCCCCTTCTTCCGGGCGATTCATGACGTCTTCCAAAGGGGGGAGGATGCGACTTTTGAGATACTTGCGGATTACTCTCGAACCCCGTGATGCCTCGGATAGGCACAGTAGAACCGGGACAAGAAATTCTTTCTTGTGCGGCGTGTCCAATTTGTGCTCGAGTTGGTCTATCAATATGTCCACTGCTTCCATGTTGTAATGCATGAATTTCTTAGTATCCGAAGCTATCGTTGGCGATAATATCCCCTGTAATGCCGTCTTGCTCATGTTGCTTAGTAAATTTATAATTTCGCCCACCATCTGCTTGTCTTCGCGCATGTCTAACAATAACTGCCGCAACACTGCGACCAGCCTGCCAAAGCAATCCTTGTTCTTTTGTTTGTCTTTTTCGTCCATGTTTACAGTGAGATTGTAGAGCACTTTAAGTGCCCAGGACAAATAATCGCTCGAATCGCCTTGTAATTTTTCAAGAATTTCGCACAACGGGGGAATGGCTGCCAGTTCTTCTCTCACAAAGGTGCGAGTATCCGCCTTTAAAGCTGTCATGCCGAAAAGAATACGCATGTCAAAATGCTGGATATCCCTGCAAACCTCGCCAACGGTTAACATACGTTTCACTAGCGACTGCAGGGTCCCATTAGCTGCGCACTGATCCCGAATTGCCACGCTGTGAAAGATTAAATTGCAGAGTACTTTTTCAGCTTCAAGCACTGCTTTCGTGCTCTGTGGCTCGATCGGACCCGAATTCGTGCTTAGCTTCGAGATAGCGCACAACTTATCTACTACCTCAGTGTTAAATACTGAATCCGTGAGACGGTTGTCTCTACTAAGGATGCGTAACGTGGACAGTGCTGTTATGCGGTCTTCCTCAGAGCCCTCAGTGGCCGCCATTACATACTTTACCTTGCCTGAAACTTCTTGCAAAAGTGCCTCGCCAAAGTGGAACACCTGCGCATTTTCATTATTAAATTTGACAAGCGCCGCAGCGCCCTGCGCCCAGTCCATCGACATTCTTTTGCTCGTTTACTTTTCTGGGTTTTCTCGTAGCTTTGCTTACGACCTCTTTGTAAGGTACGACTGACTGTTTTGCAAACGAATTCACGGCTAGACTCTGGATCTGTTGGGCACGATTGACCTGACTACTGCTGATCAATAGAAATGTCAGTTCGTTTTTATCATCTAGCAGATGCTTTAATCGATGCACAGGGTGAACACCGGGTTGCTGAACCACGATGAGCTGATAACACGGCACAAGATGTCTGTTTTCTCCGCTCACTCGATTTACCTCAAAACTGCCTCGGCGCCTGGCAGTTCTTCAAAGATGTTGACAATCTCTGCCGACGCACTGCACTATTCGTTCTTTACCTTTTCAGTGCAATGAAGACCCGCCCGATAACCTTAAGATAGCTCAGACAGCTCCTGCTGCCTTACTCGCACCAGCCGTCGTTGAAACCTTGTGGTTGCCGTCGTCGTCGCTATCGCTGTAGGCGTCGTTGCAGATCGGCCGCTGTTGTTGTTGTTGTTGTCTTGAGTATAGTGCGTGTATCTGAAACGACCAACGTGTACGACCGTCAGCAGCACTCCAGGCCACGTTCTTCCACAGGTAAGATTTCCATCTCCATATGGATTGTATACAATTTGAAGCTTGAGTGGTAATTCATTCCTAATTCGTAATGCCTCACAGTTTTTTTCGGTTTCGATATCCATTGCTCTCTCGCGTGACCTACCACGTCAACAGCCTATCTGTCTGTTTACATTTATGTCAAATAGACAATGAATAATCTAATAACCTATGTGGTGACCAATTAAAATGTGTGACGCCTAAAATAGATGAACCGAAAGCAAATCAAAGCACCGCTATTGCTGCTGTTGTTGCTAGATGGACGCAACAGCAACGCATTTCATATCATATCACAACATAATACTAGGTCTCACTAGTGCCCTCTACCCCCAACGGTCCCCAGTATACGGTTGCGGCTGGGCAACAACGCATTATACTTGCCACTGTGTGACAACAAAATCGACCTACTTGCCCGCGAGTCAGTCTGCCAGGGCCATGTCTTCGACGCGACGCGTTTTGCGGTGCAACGGTTACAGCTTTAGACTGCTGACTGCTAAGCCAGCAACAACAGCTAATTTGCAATCTGTACCCGCTGACTGCGGCTCGCTTTGCCAACTTGTAATCATCAACACCACAATCACCAACGTCGTTGTCGTCGTGGTCGTTTTGCTTGAGTAATGTGGCTGCGCGCGCGCGCAAAGCGCGGTTTGCCGCGAAACCGTTGCAACCGTTTGTCAGGGCCGTTGCTGGTGCCAGCGCTGTTTCAGCTAGTGTTCGTACCATAGATCGTAGAAAAGAACGCAGTAGCACTGCGCGCAACGGAACAGTGTCTGAGTATCGCAACGGTCGAAGAAACGAACCACCGTAGCAGCAATGGTGACAGCAGCATCATTATCAATAGTATCAGCAACACCAACGGCAGCGGCAGCCGTCGTCTTTACGACGACAACAACGCCGGTAACGGCAACGAATAGCATGACGGCCAACCGTCGCTCCAGCTTTCCCCGCCTCTCACATAACCGTACGGGGGACAGGCATATCGTCATCCTCATCATAACCATAATCATCATCAGCAGGGTCGGTGAGCCCCCGCATTGAATGAGCACGTTGCGATCACGTTTCGTGTTCTACAGCATCACGACTCTGATTACTGCTATTATTGCTCACGGGGGTTGGGGTAAATGTTTCAAATTCAATAGGAATACAATTTCTACGTCTCACAAGGAGACTAAAAGAAAAGGGAAATGCGATTGTCGATGACCGTTTTCTGCCAAATAAACAATCAAAACAAAAACGCCGAAAAACGAGGATTCACCATGAGGTATGAAATTCGCATTGTTCCGTGTCTTTTGCTCAACACGTGACATTAGCTACTTATCATATAGATTAGTTTTGTTTTCAGTCAACCATATAACTCATTGAATTGAAGCGTAACATGATGAGAGACTACATCACATATCTGAAGTATAAGTATTCGGTGAGTTGTCCTGTTTTTGTCTAGTGATTCATCGTAGTACAGAAAATTAAAAGAAGTTTCTGTGCCTACTGTTCCGGCATCGATTGTTTTTAAATGGACAGCTGGCTCGCAAATCATTTAAAGATTTGTCTGTCCTATGGCCTGCTTCCTAGGATTTTGTTTATGCGACCTAAGAGGTCTTGTTCTCGCATTCGCTCTCACTCTCTCTCTGTCTCCGTCTGTCTACGCCCGAAAATAACCGGAGGGACCCCGCAACGTCCCTGCGCATTATGCATATGTCATGAAGAGAGGTGAATGTACAGATCTCAGAGCAACAGCAGCATCAGCATCAGCATTATCGCCATCATCATTATTATCATCATCGCGATCATAGCCCACGTTGTGGATATTTTGAGGGGGTAGTGCCTTTGCTGCTTCTGGTCGCAGCAGCAGTTCAAGCGGCGTCACAGCGCTCGTCGTCTCTGTCGGCGCCTCGGCAACGACGCAACGGAGCTTCATCTCCCAACATTTCTACCTCTACTATCTACTGCTACCCACCAGCACAGACGCCGCCAACACACGGCCTCTACCGGCAGGAGCGCAGCATAGTTTGCTCGCTTGCTTGGAGCTCCTCGTCGCAGTCGTTGTCGTTGGCCTCGTTGCTGCTGCTGCTGCTGGTACTGCCGTTCGTCGTTCAGCCGTCGCTGCTGTTGTTGTTGTTAGCGATTCGCTCGTCGCAGTCAGTCGCAGTAGTTGCTATTGCTGCTGCTGCTCGCATTCGCTTGCTCCTCGCTTCCCGGAGGCCCCCCGAGCCTGCCGCCGCCGTTGCTGCCTTGCCTGGTGCCTACTCTCTGTCGGTATGTCTGTCTCTAGCCGAACGCAGTCGCTGGACTGGCTGCAGTCGCTGACTGCGCCGTTGCCCGACGAATCGACAGGCAACACCCGACGCAGCAACGGCAACGAAACAACGACACTCAACGGTAACGACGACGATCACGAAGATAACAACAACAGCAGCAGCAACAGACGCACACCACTTTCACTTGCATCATCATTAGTGGGAGCGGCAGCAGCAGTAGCCGTATGTCCACCGCGGGCGACAGACAAACGGAGACGGGACGATAACCAGAGACGCAAGCAAGTAGCAAGCGAAAAAACGAGAGATTTCTTTTCGCACTGTCGTTTAACATTAAGGAGTTAACACATGACTGTAAATACATGTATGATTATTGCGCCGAAAAAACAGATAAACAAAAGAAAACTGTACAGATATATAGTCAACGAAAGTTAGGCACACACTGTAACTGATTGTGGAGATGGCAGCCTAGACGCTATCAGAGCTAAAATGCTCCCCGTTTTACGTGGGGTTGTTGATGCGTAGGCAAGAAAACGTACGCAGAAGAATAACTTACGAAACTCGCACGTATTAAAGCCAGCCGTATAGAGATGAAAGCATCAAAGAAACATATGCACAACAGAGATACACTTGCAAGGCAATAAAGATCGAAACTAGCACGGACTGAAAGTGGTATGTTATAAAAACACATACAACCATGATAGCGCGACTAACAACGGGTTGATTCGCACGATTTGCGGTAGTCTGAAGGTTTGCGACAGCGGCAGCCCGTCCGATTCATGCATTGCATAAACGTATTCGACTGATCACTCAGGTCTGCCGTCCTGATTTCTTTGCTGTTTGTTACTTATTGCATACTGTCGCATATTGCATATATATAGAAGATTATTTTGTTGAGCCTGCGCACGCTTGAAGTGCATCGTCATACGCTCTGGAACAGCGTACGCTTCCCGGATATCGCGACTACACATGACGACTCAAAAACTTTTGCGAACACGTTTCGCAATCTTATTCACTTCGGTGCCTTTCACGTTCACGACAGGAGCGCCAAGTGCCAGAATCTAATAATCATGACGTCACCAGTTACAATGGAACATCTGCTCTCATTATCTGTCTCGTGACTTTTGCTCAATCACCGACTATAGCAATACGACTTCGCGCGACGTTTTTCAATAACTTACAACGATATCAGTATCTACAACAACGGCGTACGCTAACCGCAGCGTCAGCAGCAGCAGCAGCAGTAGCAACAACTGGCACCAGCTTTCGACAATACCGTCAGCGCTGCGTCTTTCACAAGCACCAGCCTCGACACGACATGTTTTAGAGGTAGCTATTAACGGCAACTACTGCTAATACAATGGCCAGACTTACAACTGCCGCTAACACTAACACAAATGACAGCGATTGTAGCATCACCGGTAGATTCGCCTATGACTGACTACTTGGACACCCACTCGTTGCGGCTGTTTGTCGTTCTATGGCCTTTCATCGGTATTATGCGTTAAATGTCGCAACAACAATAACAAGGGTAACGACGGCGATGGCAACCACAACAGTTTCACATGCAACAGTGGCAGGATCAGGAGTAGGAACAGGAGCACCAGCATTAACACTACTACTACTACTACTACTACTACTCACCAGCGTCGAAAGGACTACACGCAGGCCAACGACACGGACAATGGCACGCAAGGACGCACCGCGACTAGTTGTATCTTCGTGAAAACACCAGATCTAGCAACGTCGTCGCAGCTAAAGTTCCCCCTCCCATTGCAGTTACTACGATCACTACCACTACAAACGCGACCACACCGGATCGCACCGCACGGCGCACTAGCGGCGGCAGCAGCACCAGCAGCAGCAGCAGCACCAGCAGCAGCAGCAGCACTGGTAGTGGTAAAGTCCTGCTACCGTCAACAGCGGCGGCCGCACAGACAGACGGCGCAGCGTTGCTTCTTCTCTGCGCACCCAACGAAGAACGAGTGAGCGCGTGAGCGAGCGAGTGAGGAGTAAGCGAACGTAAAGCAATAACGCCAGGACGCTGGGGCGCTCGCAGCTTGCTACCGCTTGCCTAGTGTATCAGACAGAGCCACAACAGCTCTCAGACGTGCTCAGGCCACGGCGGTGGCGACGGCGGCAGCAGAAAGGGACGGCGAGTCTACTGCGAACGGACAGAGACTGTAGAACAGGCGGACACCACAACTGAAGCTGCCGCTGCTGTCGCTGCCATCACAACCACTCAGTCGTCCACTTCTGCCGCGGCAGCGTTCACCGAACCACTGCTGTCATGGCTGTCGCTGCAGCTTCGCCTGCCTGCATGCCTACCTGGCCAGCCAGCCAGCCAACCAGCCAGCCGCTCAAATCGCTGATGACGATCGGTCCATCCGTCCGTGCGTGCGTCCCTATCCAGCTTGCGACGGACGCTGCCAGACAGACACACGGCCAGCCAGGCCCACAGCAGCAACGACCGAGGCAAAAACGAGACCATGACGAGAACATCTCACACGGACCTACACATACACAGACACAGCGGACAAGCGACGGCATACAGCATTCGCATCATGTACGCACGCACCGTCACCACGGCCAGCAAAACTCACTTAATAATCGTATGGTCGCCGCCGCCGTCGTCGTTGACGCAGACTGTGCCGATACTGCTGCTTGCTGCACCGAGTGGAGCGGCAAACTAGCAGCGGCGAGCAGCCCACCGGACCAGCGGCTGGCTCGTTCAGCGCCGGATGGCTGGTTTGCTCGCCAATCGTGGCCGTCGATGCGGTTCGACGCAGTCGTAGCAGATGTGCGCAACGCTCAGACACACCCCTGCTGCCTACGCTAACACCGACGACTACGGCCTTTATAACATTTCCAGCAAGGTTAGCTGCTGCTGCTGCAACAGCAGAAGCAGGCCATAGTACATTAAGTAGCCTTTTCCTTTTATCCTCCTTCGGATAGTTTTGCTAGAATAGATGCATACGCACAGTAGTCAAGCACGAAGATCGATCGATGCGTCAGGCGGAGGAGGGGGTAACACACAATGGACGCTCTGCTAGTCATAGCCAAAGTAGCACTCGCGCGCATACGTCCAAACGTGTCTGCTTGATACTCACCAGTTTGATAGTCGAAGAAGAGGCAAAAGGTATAAATAGTTGCAAGTGTCGAGAGGCCCCCACCGCTCTCCTGCCGCTGGCATTCACCACCCCAACAAAAACAGCAACAGCAGCAGCGCAGGCTACATTGATAGAGTAGTAATAGCGCAGGCCGAGCGACGCGACGGCGGCGGCGGCAGCAGCAGCACGGGGATACAGCACACACAAACAGACAATGTGCCTGATGGTGGGTATCTCAGTGCCGCTGCAACCATCGCTGCCTCAATCCAGCCATCAACGATGATGATGATGATGATGGTGATGATGATACAAATGGCTCCTCCGGCGCTGCTGCCGCCATCGCAAACACTTTTCAACAGAACGAGGCACCGCTAATCGCTGAACTGCGATAGTATACAACACACGGAAAAGAGAAGGAGATTCATCGTTGGCTTCCCTTTTCCTCCTCCCCTTCTTTTTCCTCGCTATCGTTGTCGTTGTTTCCAGACATTGAGATAACCCCTCCATTCAAAAAACACCGCCACAGACCCCATGTCGCGTACGATATATTAATCGTGGATAGGGAAAATCATTGCAACGACGACATTGGGAACACTGGGAGATCATGCATCTAATTCGGCGTCTCCGGCCGTCAAAAGGAACGAGTAGAAGGCAGAAACTGTCCAACTGACGGATCGGAGGATGAGCGAGCGGGTAAATTGACCAGCGAAAATCAGCTAGCCGGCTCGCGTGCAAACAAGAAAACAGTGCGTACTAGTCCAGTAGCGTTGGGCTGACTGCCAAATCGCTACGCACGCCTCATCAAAAGATCTGTTCAGATCGTACGTCTGCTCAAGCTGCTGCTAGCGGTTAGCTGACCGTTACATGGGTCGTTTAGCCTTTGCTGGAAAAGAGGTCGTCGAAAACTTTCGGGGACATACGATCTCTGAGACTGCGGGGTGAGCACAATACGCACTTTTATCGTAACATCACGATGCACGATTCGTGTATGCACTCATATTATGTACATCCCGAATCTTACATAACGTTTTGAATAACATGTGTGTGAGTGTGTATGTATGCGTGTGTCTGTGTCTTTGAACGCTATTAACACTTACACGAAGTGTTAATGGTGACGGTCGCGGTTGTTGCTGACGCGGTTGCAGCTTGGGAACCTTTGTTGATTTCGTTGTCCTTTTTTTCCGTTAGCGAGATTTTCCGGGTTCGTCCGTTTTCACAGAAATTCGATAAAACAAGCTGTGGGTCACACACTAGCAGGGACACTTAACAGTCGTACACTTCAATCATGTTAACAAACATCACGGCTAGTACAGATAACGACGGCAACAACAACAACAACAACAGCCAGCCCTCTCCCTCCTCATATTTATCTACTGTTCGAATCTAATCGCTTTGTATCTTGTCAATTTCATTTAATCTGGTTTTGTTCGTGTTGCGAACGCAACAAGCGAATAACGCGGAGCCCAGCCGACCCAACCGACGGTCAGAGCTAAAACGCCGTCGATCCTGAACCCAACACGGTCTGCGCATAGCAAAGCGGTGGGAGAGTGGAAGTTCTTGTTTGTTTAGATTTGCAGAAGACTGGAGTCGCCACTATCGCCTTTAACACAGCTGCTGCCACTGTAACTAAGCTGCGCAGTCGCGGAAAGGGGCCAGAAAGGTAACAACATGCTTAGCGTTCCACAGCGGATACGGTCGCAATATGCATGATGATGATAACGAACGGACATGAACACCCTCCACGAATTCGTTCGCGCCAACAATGGAGCGGCTCATAGCAGACGACGGCCATGGCTGTCGCTGGCGCCTCCATCGAGCGCTCTAGTGCCGACGACACTTATTGTATGATTCGAATGCCTGTTGCCTGCGATCGGCATCGTAGCTTCTATCACTGCTATTCGACGAAGGAATCGGACGAAGCCGAACAGCGCAACGGGCGTCAGACACGAAGGAAACGTCACATACGAGTCGAGCGGTATTCTGCGCTGTAGGACAATGCCGAAGACGAGTGTAAGTGCTCGAGTCGCTACTAGACGCTGCCGCCACGAGCCTATCGTAAATAGAATCACCACCAAACGGCAGGAGAGGCAGATAATGAATGAAGAAATATAGTAAAAAAACAATATAACGAACGACGAAAAAACCATAAACAGAAAACAACAGTTATTTTTTTTAATCTGTGCTCTGTTTGTTTTTTGCATTTTCGTATCGTTCGTTTTCTCGGTTGTCTTTTGCTAATCGCCTCATTCATCGATCGTTAACAACAAGTACTTATTTCCCTATAAAATTCTTCGAAGAAAGACGCACACACGGTCATGTTTTAATGAACAGCAACCAAAATCCTGTGATACGATAATCAAACAGGTAATATTAGCTACATGCGCGTAAAAAGATCATTTGTGTACTAATCTTAGCAGTTATCACAGCCGAGTTACGTAACGTGCGTGGATAATGATAGGGAAGATCTTCGTTTTGTGAGTGTGGTATATAGTGAAGTGGCGCCATACAGGGACGATCGGCAGCACAGTAGGAGGTAAGTGGCTTTGTTACCTGAGAAACCTTTAGCTTCGTACAGTGATTCCAAAATTTTTACTATACAAAAAAAGCACATTTTCAGTGAATTCGGTGTTGTTTTGTTTTTCCATTGTTAGCGAGTTGTAATGGACAACCCTCTCACTACCCGAATTCCGAACTTTTATATGTTTTCCGTTTTCTACTATTTGATACAAATTATATATTTATCGTATGGCGCGATTCGAAACACAGGTCAGTCCCTGCCAATAGAAAAAGTTATTTCCAAACGCTCCTTCTCCTACTTAGGCAGAGTGTTTATAATAATGGTATTATCTGTTTATCTATCTTTCTAATTATATAGCGTAGGGCTGAATCGTATAAACCAATACACAAGCTTACTATTTAGGCTAATATCTGTTGTACCGTAGAAAACTAGCGCGTATTGTGTTTGCAAGGGTACAGGAGTGTATCCGACGGCGAATAGATGCAAGTTATTTGAACTGTACGTATTTGACCATCGAATTCGATCGGCGATCCTGTCATAGACAAATGGAACGTTCCGTTGTTTGTACACGTAGCACAGACGCTTCTAGCTCCTGTCGACATGTGTTTCCCTTCGGATATCTCCATATTTTCACCTGACCACCAAAAAGGCTGTGGCTGACTGAAGCGTGATAGCTTTAGAGCAGAGGAAATCAATATTCATGTAATCTCAAACTGCAATAGCTTATTTATTTATTAACTTTATTTAAGAGACTTCTACATTATTTGAACTAGCCAAAGCTGCAGTTTTAATATATTTTCACACGGGTATGTATGAATTTATGTCAAGCGGTAAAGGTAAATTTATTTTCCATCTCAAATCGCAACTGAGAGGGTTACAGTTCCACCTTGACAGCTGCAAAATAGTAACAATAATAATTAATATTACTATTATTATTATCAGTAATAGCTAAATATTAAGATTTATTCGGGTAAACTCCATATGAAAACTTAGTGCATAAGTTCTAATTTTGTAAAGCTAAGTAAGTCCAATTCAGGTAAATTCCGATCCAGCGCTTTGAACGCCAAGCTCCACTGAATCCAGACAATCTAAACAAGCAATATTTTGATAATGATTTATTATGTTAAAGGTGTGATTTCCTTATTTCAAACAACACGAAGTATTAGCTGCAGCATAAATAGCCATGGCAATAGAGTTATCGCGTTGGATTTTGCTAATATGTTTCGAACCTGATTTAAGTCAACGAAAAAAGTTCCATAAAATGTGAGAATATAAAGTACTATTGAAACTAAATCTGATGTTATGAATGTTATGATTTTCTTATTTTTGGTGTTTTAGGATCCTCGATGGATGACGTGTGATCGACCATGGAGCAAGGCGGAGGAGAAGACGAAAGCCAGCCCCCAGTAGAAAGCTCCTCAGAAGACCTTGACCCGATACTAAACGACAGCTCGTCATCAAGTGATCCCTTTGTAAACCAGGACGTTTTTGAATCTGGAGTGGACGATAGACAAAACCAGAACGGTGAAGGAGTATCAAAAGACGACGACGAAGACAACTGGGAAGACGTCACCGAAGTGGACACTCAAGCAACTATGGCCACCAGAGTAAAACGGATTGAGATTCTTTTAGCGGTTAGCTGTCTCGCCGGAGCTGTAGTTAACCAGTTTATCACTGCTGGTGGACTTCGGCGTCTTACGAGGGAGGCACCTCCAGGACATCCACTATTGACAAATGTGTCGTATCTGGATGTCTATGACGGTGAACTAAGTACCGTATACGATGAGTTCTTGAAACATGAAATCACCGTGACACTGTATTATGCTCCGTGGGATGCGACCAGTCGCGAAAGCCTCCAAGTTCTCGACGAAGTTGCCAAGGAATTTCAAGATGTCCGTTTCGTGGCAATTAACTGCTGGCAAAATTCAGCTTGCTTCAAGTACTACCAGTTTAAATTCTACCCCTCAGTAAGTGTGTATGTAAGAGGTCAGGGCAGTATACAATATCCTATCTACTCAGCACTGGCCAAAGATTACTTCATCACGTTTCTTCATAATGTCATTAATCCAATAACGGTTGTATCATCAGATTACGAGTGGTACACGATGAGGTCGAGGCATTTTGCTGTTGTCACAGTTCCTCAAATGTACTACCGATTCGGCTATAGTTTAGCGCTCGAATCGTTGAGGAAAGATCCTCGTCAGCGAGTCGGTTTTGCGGTGCTTGCTAAAGGAGGCGGTGATACGGTGCGGCTTCACCTGTGGAACGAAACGCTTACCTACGATGAGAGTAATAACCCAACTGTAGCGTCAGTTTCAAAATGGGTCTACGCAAAGTTTCATGAGCCAACTGGCTATCTGATGAACTCAGGCTACAAAAGCAATCAAATCTCTAAACTCGTGAATAGCACTAAAGCTTTCATCGTGGTGAGAACTCATCCAAACTCGAGTTTAAATCTCAACCTGCATATGATGGCGCTCCAATTCTACTCGTGCCAAGATACTTATGAGGCACATTCGAAACAAGTTCTATTGTCGCTTCTGGTTGGATCTGAGGATCGTTCTATCAATTGCAAACGAATGCCATATCCCTTTGAGTGTACCTCGACATCAATGAAGTGCAATACTAAATCACCGGTCGATATTTCATTCATGAGCAACTGGGCTATACCAGTTTCCATAACGTGCCAGCGGCTTGAGAGCCTCTATCTGCGACACTTAGAAATTAAGCGGATCTGCCAAACTCATCGAACACAGCCAGACGGTGCCAAACATCCAAAGGGCCTTCTCTGGGGTCTTGGTTGTGGAAAAGAGCACTTATTCAAATTCCTCACGCTCGATGGCGCGCTCTATGACCAACTGTATCCGCTGGAAGCGCCGGCCATCATTTATGATGCTGAGGATGACATCAAATATCTTCTGCCTCAGTCGCAGTTCACCGTGCGTGGCATCGAATTTTTTGTAGCTCGCTATGCCGTAAAGTTACGAGAAAAACTTCAAAAATCGATGTCTGTTGTACGACATGATCTATTCCACGATCAGCCAGAGAAGTTCGTTCCACCTAGCGAAGAGGTGGTTGGATCATTGACCGGATCCAGCAGGTCAAAGAGCGGACAACACATCGTGCCAGCGGAGTCGGCTTTTCGAGACACGGTCATTTTCTTCTATACGAACTGGTGTGGTTTCTGTAAAAGTGTCGCTGCAAACTTTCACAGAGTGGCGCACTTTTTCAAAGCCGCGCCGATCTCATTTCGAACTGTAGACGCTGAAGGAAGCCGATTTGAGGACATCCGATATTCGCCCGATAGCTACCCGCAGGTCGTCTTCTTTCCAGGAAACAGTTCTGACACTATCCGCTATTCAGGAAACTGGCGGCCCCAGTGCCTAACACGGTTCATTCTCAAGCACTGCAGCGACAAGGTGCTACAATCGCTCTGAATTGTCGACAAGCGTCCACTAGGACTTCAAAAAAGTTCTCTGGCACACCGTAAACAAGGAAGAGCAAAGATATAGTGACTGTGATCTATTTAAATACGGAAATACAGAGCAATAGCATACTTTACTGTTTGAAATACTTGGCTTTAATGCTAAAGCAGATCCTATAATATGACAGATTTAATACAAGTTTTGTTGAATTATGATGAGTGACTGTACAGTGTAAGAAGCATAGGGTAACCCATATGATGCAGGTCTAAATAAAGCCGAAATAAACTATTTTCATTGTATACGTTGTACAGAATCATCGTATTGTTGTCATCAGCATTAAATAACGTCGAAAACCTAATAGTCTAATGCGATAAAGACATGCGAGAAGGATGTCACTATATAATATTCCGTTTTAATTAGTTTTCGAAAATATTCCATTTAAGATTTCTGAGGATTGCATTTCTATATATATTCATGACTTTGGAGCTGGTTTTTAAAAGAATAAAAGAACTTAATGAGTTATTCAAATAGAGACAAACTTTTGGCTGAAAACTCATTGTTCAAAAGTTTGAACATACTGCTTGAAGTCGAAATCCTATTAGAATCATTTTGCTATAAGTCGTTTGACAGTATATTTAATTTAATATGCAATTAAAAGGAGTGGAGCTTGACTAATAAGCCTTTCGGTATAAGTTTTTGGTCCGTGGTCTTTTGGTCCTAGAATGCATCGTAGCCGCCAATATAGAAACTCCAATGTTATTTACTGTTTAATGTTCCTAATGGCGCAGGAATAGCCTAACTAGTATCGCAAAGATCTATTCGTCAAGTTTGTGATTTCTGAAGTTCGGCTTAAGGCTTCGCTTTCCTCAATTTTATGAAACACAAATTAAGTGACTATAAAGGATGTGACCATTTTTGGGTTCTATCCACTGGTATTAAGATTCGTATAGATAACTATAAAACAAACGAAATTAAAGTTAAGATCCCGTATGAATTTACTACAGAAAACTGACAACATAAATATAATCATAATTATTTGAAGTATATTTCAGTTAGAATAGCTCATAAAATTCTACATGACTGTCGAACATGAAACCAGTTTTTTTACAAACTAAACCAAAGTCAGTGATTGAATAACATGATAAGCTATACAAATTTGGTATTAACAACTAACCACGAAAACGATTTGTGTAGGACTCACATTTTTTGAAAATATAAGTAAAAAGCAAGTTTTTTACTAACTTATTTAATATTTAAAGATATTTTTGGGAGTAGGCATTTACAACGCAAATTCAGCTACCCTGATATTATATGCAATATCAACTATTCATATAGAAAGAATCGGTATAGACAGAATACTCGATTTGGCAGGTTCTACTTTAAAAAGTACATCATTTCTCCAGCCTGTGCGAGACGTTATTTCCAGTAACTCAAACTGTCTTTAAAAAATACTCTAAGCGCCAAATACTAATTAAAAAAAAGTTTTACAACTGAAATTTGAATCTAACTACAATTGGGTGATTCTCAAAAGTCATACTACATTATTCATCTTGTTATCGAAGGCACCTTTATCAGAGGTGCCGCATTTCGTTTTTATTCAGCACACCGCATTAACTTCATCGTAGAAAGTCTGTACATATTTACATGCTGTAAGTCTCGTCATTATGTTTCTTTGTTTTCTTCTACTTGTACGCTATATTTTTGCTTTCAGTTACCTTTCATAAACATTTTCACTCTATGACTTAACTATATATTTATTGTATTTATGAGCATGATTTATCAAACCGTATTGACAGTTCATACTCAACATTGCTCTAGAAAATTTTTCTCGCTGAATCTGCTTCGAGAAAAAAGGTTAAAAATTTCACTATAATTATATTATTAACAGTTATCAGCAGAGGGTATTCTGCTGTGGCTGCACTTGTCTTCATTTAGGGAGCCTCTCTAGGTGTCAAGCTCTATTTGTCTCTCTTATTCGTCTGCAACGAACTGCTCTCACTCTTCGATCGCTACTCAAGGGTAAGTTTAAGTTTTTTGGCTTCAAACTCCTTTGCGTCACCGTGCTGAAGATAGAATTTACGCTTCATATCCGATACCAGTAGGTCGGTGAGCAGAAACACTTGTGCGACGTTGTACAATAGCGTCATGGCGAAGTAAAAGTTGGCGTTTCCTGAATAGGCGAAAATCCACTGTTGCCACATGATTGGTGTCAGGACGAGACAGAGTGCGATGGCTGTGAACACTACAATGACCTGACGCATCAGGTCGAATAGATGTCGAAAGATGGGAAGTAACGAAGAGTAAAACGCAAAATCGGCAAGACTTGGATACGGTTTGAACACGGACACCGTGACAATGAGTGTCCAGTACAACAACAGTGGATCTTTGCGCAGCTTAATTGCCAGTGGAGCCACATAGATAAATACGTTAAGGTGGAACACACACAGGAAAAACCATCGAAAATGATCGAACAGTTCCGTGAAAAAGTACCAAAATAAGCCGACGTTCGGCGTCAAATCAGTGACGGCGAGCTGAAAGTAATATGCAGAGATATGCGAATCGCTATTAAAACTCATCAACTGGGCTAAAATTGCTGTGTACGCTGACAGGAATAGAATACACGGGGTCCGATGTCGAATGAACAGTACCGCTGGCACGACAAGAATAACTGTGTGAAGACAGCGAGACGTGAGCAATGCCAAAGTTACCGTACTTAGCGGCCAAGCGCCGTACACCATAGCGAGTAGGCTAAGAGTATGCAATAGATTGTCAAATATCGACGTATTCTGTGACACACATGACAGAATATTGAACGGCGATAAACAGTAGACAGTGAGTACGAGGGTGGGAATTTGTCGGGCTGTTGCTATCGTCAGAACGAGTTTTCTTGAGGATTGTGCCTTCGACAGGCTGCGATCCTGATGTAACAGGATCTGGACGCATTTCTTTGACGCTGCGTAAAGAATGAGGCCAGTCAGCAGGTCAACTACAATGAAGAGATGCACAAGACCGTTACTTCGAAGGAACGTCAGCAGAAGCGAATAGAATCGAAGCGACAGATATGGCTCATGAAGAATATCACCTAGAAATCGAGAAACCCGAAACAAAGTTTTGTAAATAAGTTTAAATTATCTCTGTCACTCTACCAAATGAATAAACAGTTCACGAAAGTTTTTCATATTGTAGGTCTGAAAAATCGTGAGGCATTAATATATTTGATGTAAGTACAACTCTGACGAAGTAAAGCCTTTGCCATAGATTGAGCATCAGATGAAAACGTAGTTGGCTAAGCAACTGCATTAACAGATGCTCCATAGAAATTGACGTATCACCTTTGTGCACAAAGTAATAACAAATATCAAATATCTAACAAGTTAGGATGTTGCTATAAAATCTAAATGAGATTATCCTAAACTTTCACTGCAATAATAAAACTGTATGGGTATGTCTCTTAAAAAGTAGGAAAATGCACTGAGAGAGAAAACTTAATTTATCGAAGAAAAACTCTTAAGCACTCTAAAGCACTACGAATGATACTGCTGCTGCTTCCAACAAACGAATAGTGCTTTAGGGTATACAATTTTTATGTAAAAGAATAATATTGCACCTTTGGGCACATCGAAAAAGTGTTAGTGTTATCAAGATAGCATGCTACACCTTAAATTACCTCATTATTGGAGCAGTGGGACTTACAAAGCCTTGGGTGCATTTTCCAAAATATACCTAGTACTTTGGTTTTAAAAATGTAAATGAATGAATTAAGAAATTATGAACATACAGTCACCATTCGTAATATCGTATAATAATGTAAGTAAGGATTCGTAATATTATAGTTTTATAAACCATTTCTGTATTTTTTATATTTTTTAAATTATAATTTTTAATTATAGTCTTTTGTAAATTATAATTGATCGTAATAATTCGAGTAAATATACGCTTTTATTTCGAGCCGTAGTATTTAAACTCTGGTAGCTGACGTTTTGTTTTTATACCCAAAAATTGTATACGTCTTCACAAACAACGCAAAAATTAATGACCAGGTGCCTAACAACGGCGGGTGTTGTCTCAAAAGGTATACACACTTTGTTTCAAAATCTATACTGCTAACCTGAATATGGATTGATTCCATGCTTCTCCAAAAAGTATCCTTCAACAACTCTCTTCCACGAATTCATCGGTGTGCTGAGTTCGACACGATCTGCGATTCTACCCCGGAATTCTGACCACATTAAAGCTAATCGCAGAGCATAGCCACCAGTTATTAGAAACACGGCGTTAACCGCGGTCCCCATGCTTACCTAAGATTAACGGAGTTTCACGAATAATAATTCGAAACAATAATTGAAAGGAAAAATGACGAGTACTCTCCGAGCGCTCCGATGAGGGAGGGAGCTCATGTGAGGTGGTGGCAGCTAAACAAAAATATTACACACACGCCACTCGGTCATTGCGTGTCGATGTGTCGGCGGCAGTCAGTCAATAAGCTGTAATGAAGATTGTGGTTTTTCCGTATATGTGAAAATAATATTACATTCAAGAATGCAATTCAGAGTGGGGTCGCTGGAAAGCAGAATTCCAGAGGTGAAAGTTCTGGGACATTTTGGGCCAAAGATTCGCCAAAAAAATAACACACCATAATGCAACAATAAACCAATCTAGAATCGGACGAGTTATAGGGAATTTATTTTATCCAAGGGACCTCTAATTCATGACATTTAAATCTGACGCAACGATATACGGCCACCACTATGTTTGCGTCTTTGCTGCAAAAAAGACAAAGCACGCAAAAACTTCGTGTGGTTTTAGACATATGCGTTAGGCCGCGAAATGTTATGCTGCTTCGTAAAATGTCTGTTCGAGGGAACGCGATTTTTATGATAGTCAGTGATTATCAGTCATAGTCTGTCATCTATATTTTCATTTATATGGATATACCTTGTAAATTGTTTTTGTTAACCCTCTCACCTCTATTAGAAATGAAACTCCTAGCTTAGTCCTAAGATGTGTTCTAGTGCCAATAGACTTTCCCTCATTGGATTTAAGAAAAGTAATTGCCAAAAAACATTCACATGTTTATTGGTAGGTAAAACTTCTATGGTATGAATGACGAAGGTACTTTTTTTTCTGATTTAGATGTCAGTGAGTATTACACTGAACATTGCTGTTTTTGTGTTTGATGAGGTATCTATAAATGGAATGCATGAATCAAGAAAGCGCTTATAGAACGCCAGTTAAATTAAGCAATCCATCATGAAACATCTAGCCATAAACTGCAAGCAAGCTGCATCCAATTGTTTGAAAAAAATAAAATGTAGTTATTTCATCATTTACATTTAGTGTAACCAATTTCTTAATAGAGCCATTCACTCCCATTTGTTCTTTTCCGTCACGAACATTAATCAAATTCGACGATTTTGCATATTTCCTTTACTCAAACTTAGAATCAAGTTTAAGAATTAAGAGTTTTGGTTTCTCTTTCCTTTCTGTGCGCGTGCAAATAGCACCCGAGTACACCTGGTTAGGGCTCCCATAGCAACGGCGTATGTTTCCACAACAAAGCGCTGATGTTTATACGTTTGAACGGGTTAATCCATTCAGATTTCTGCGTCATAGGTCTTGAATAAATCGAACTATTTCAAGTTATAACCCTGCATGAACAAGCTGAGATGCATATTAGACTATTTGGGAAAAATATTTTCTAAGATTGAAGCCAAAATTGAATCGTGAGTTTCACGAACCTTAAGTATTTACTGCAGTACTGAGAAAGCTCTGTACCAGCTAGGATGCGCACAAGCGTTTTGTGGCAGGATAATGTAAGAGACACTGAGAGCAACGAACAGGTATTTTAGTTTTGAGACATTAATATATTCTATCCACAAAAGCTTAACGGTAACACGCAACTCTAGTTTTACTGGCACGATTAAAATTAGTACTCCACTGGATTCTGTTCAGCCATCGGCCGATGTTTCGCTAACATTCATTGTTCAGTCACCCGACCTTAAGCAGGACTAAATGAAAAACCCATTGACCCGATTGTTAGCAAGCAAACATCACTAGTGGATAGTAATATAACGTTGTGTTTGCAGCCTAAATGATGGTCGCTAATTATTGACCATGTGGACCATGCACATGTGTACATCATGCACACCTAGCGTAAGAGCTCTGTTTAAGAATTTTTGATTACGGAGTCGTAAATATCCATGATCGTTACATGATCTATTTTTTTGTGGTGAAACGGGTCATAGTCGTTGATGCGCTGTTATGCATGACATAGTAGGAACATTGTTTGAATAATTCAATTATTATGGGGAAAGAAGGCAATGGTATGTAATATTGATGAGATCGTATGTTACACGGACTATTGCTGCCTTGAGAAATGCCTTTTCCAGGTGATCTATGATGTATGTTTTGAGCCTGACGGAGCTAAGCTCCTTGTCGCAGCGGGCAGCAAGATTCTGGTCTACAATACCGATTCTGGGCAACTCATCGATGCACTTAAAGGCCATAAAGATCTCGTCTACTGTCTGTCATATGCCTCGGATGGTCAACGGTGGGTGACGCTACAGAAAATACTTCGTTTAGATAAGTTTTTCTTCGCCTTAGAGAGCAAATGCATGGGTCCATTACGTTGCGTTACATTGAATTGCCATACACATCTTTCGTCATATTTGTGTTCGACTTAACACATCCGTTTTTTTTGCATACTACTTTAGATTTGCGTCTGGCGGCGCTGACAAGATGGTAATTATCTGGACCCCCCAACTAGAAGGGATACTCAAGTATTCCCATACAGATTCGCTGCAATGTCTTTCCTACAATCCGATCACTCACCAACTGCTGAGCTGTGCTACCGGCGATTTTGGTGAGAACTACACCTAAAAGAGGCCTAAAAATCCATGCAATAAAAAGCTATTTTGAAATATGTGCTTCTAAAGAATAATGACTACCTATTGACGATGGATCTACATAGGAACTGCATTTTTCTTGCATTATTTAATTCTTCCATGCGTTGTGCTATTTAGGTATCTGGAGCTGGGAACAAAAATCTGTGACGAAACACAGAGTGACAGCGCGTATCACAAGCTGCTGTTGGAAGCAAGACGGGTCATGCTTTGCCCTTGGTATGGCGAACGGAGTAGTGTCTGTTCGAAACAGGTGAGCTTCTGCTTTATGATTAAAAAATCTACAGGTAACGATGATGTGGTAGTAACACCGTTTAAACTCCGTTAAGTGGAGCAGAAATGTCTGTTAACGATTGATTATGGATAGCTCTAAAGTTGTGCTATAATTAAGTACATGCTATAATTAAAACACTGTGCAACCTTCGTCCAACACCATAAGAAATTGATTTAAGAGTAACATATATACATATATATATATATTCATTATATTTTTTTAGAGTTGGAGACGAAACCTTAAAGATCGAGAGACCTAGCGAAGTATGGGGAGTTGCGTTTTGCCCACCCGCTGATGACGAATTCGACCTCGCAGTAGCTGACTGGAGTCAAACTCTCTCATTTTATACACTTAATGGCCGATTGGTAACAAAAGAACGTCCTCTAGGCTTCGACACGTTATTTATGAAATATTTCGGCAACAACTATCTTGTTCTTGGTGGTTCGAACAATGCGTTAACAATACTTAGTCGCGAAGGAGTTCATCTTGGTGGACCTCTCTGTGACCAAAAAGGCTGGCTGTGGTGCTGCGACATAATACCCAATAAAGATACTCATAATATAGCCATCGGTGAGCACCATTTTTAATTTAACATGACTACATGAAACAATCTACTGTCAATATTATTGGGTAAGATTATCAACTTTCGCATTATTTATATTTACTGGTAACACGAAAAACACTATCAATTTCTCCTTAAACGTATAGACGTACAGCTAACTAAGCATTGCTCATAACAACTTTTCAGGATGCAATGATGGCACAATTTCGCTCGTCCAGCTTGGTCTAGCTACCGTTCACAGCCTTTATCGAGAGCGGTACGCATTTCGTGAAAATATGACACACGTGGTCATACAACATATGGTGACTGGTGAAAAAGTACGCATTAAATGTCGTGACGTCGTGCGTAAACTTGCAATCTACAAGGATAACCTCGCGGTGCAGTTGGCCGAGCGCATTATGATCTATGAACAGGCCGAGGCGATGCACTATAAAGTCAAGAAGAAACTCAACATGAAAGTTGAGTGCAGTCTTTTAGTGATTTGCTCGGAAAACCTTGTACTTTGCCAAGAACGAATGTTACAGTCTCTCAGACTTGATGGTAACGTAGATCGTCAGTGGACAATGTCTGCGCCGATCCGGTACATCAAAAACATTGGGGGCGCGCCGGGACGGGAAGGTCTTCTTATTGGATGTAAAGATGGAAGTGTCTCACTTGTTTATCTTAATAATTCGGTAGCTTTGGAAATGCTAAAGAGTCAGAGCTCCGGTGTGAGGTGTTTAGACTGCTCTGCATATCGTAACAAAATCGCAGTTGTCGACGATGCCGGTGTGTTAAAAGTCTACAACAGGCGAGAAACTGACAGAAAGGTTTTGTTCGAGGTAAAAGACTCTGCGGCAAGCGTCGCCTGTAGTACGCAACTGGAAGATTTGTGCGCCTTTTCAGGCAACCAGAATCTATGCGTTCGGCTATGCAATGAGAACTCTGCTTCAAACCTTACGTTTGAGGGTTTTGTGGTCGGTCTAAGTGGAAACAATGCATTTTGCCTTCAGTACAATACTATGATTACGTTTCGTTTGGCGTTGGGTGTTGCGATCAACTCTGCATTAGCTAGAGGTGCTGAGAACGCTTACGAGATTTGCTGCTTAGGCGCCTCGAAGTATGACTGGACGAAATTACTAAATAGCGCGTGTGCTTCGTACGACCTCTCTGTAATTCGAAAAGTCGCCCAGCGTATGAAGAGCTACTCAACTTGCCTTATTGCTAAGGCAGCTGAAAACGAAACCGATTCACAGATGCAGAAGTTCATAATTCTGACACGCCTCTTGAAACAGTACACGGAGGCGGCTAAATTGGAGGGCTCCTCGCAATTGCAGGATTCAATAAATACGCTGGCTTCTGATCTCAACATTCTAGACCGCTCCAGAATAGCGAAAAATAAGGGTGCCATCCTTCGCCGGGCTCAATGGGCACAAAAAATGAACGACAACAAAACCGCAATTGAGCTGTTTTTGGCAGCGGATGATGTTCTAAGCGCGATTCGGATTCTTGCACAAACAGGACAACAGGACCTTATTTGGGACAATTTGAAGAAGCTTGATCCGCAGAAAGACCGCGAACAGTTGCTCCTCTGTGCGCAGTACCTAAAGAGCGTTGGCCAGGCTGAACTTTGCGTTCGTATTTTTGAACAGATGAATGATGAAGCTCTACTTCTTCAGGTCTACTGCGACACGGCCGTGTGGGATAAAGCGATTGAAATTGCGTCCCGAAGAGGAACGTCAGTTGAGAAAGATGTCTACTTCCAACAAGCGAGTTGGTTAGCCGAAAACGATCAGTTTATCGAAGCACAACTCGCCTTCCAGAAATCCGGGCGACGAAAGGATGCGTTGCGCGTCCTGGAACAGCTACTAGAAAATGCGATCGATGAGGAACGTTTTAATGACGTAAGCTGGTACTATCTACAAATGGCCCAACATCACGCCTCAAATGAACAAGGCGATGATGTAAAGTACACCAGTTTACTGAAGTTGGCGACCATCTATTATGCGTACAATTATATTTATCGATATATTGTCGATCCATTTACAGTACATTCGGCGCATACGTTGTTCTGTATTGCGCGTTACCTCCTCAATGAGGAAGCAGCTGTTAGCCAAGCTGCCGCCATATCCCGAAGTAGTATTCTTATCGCACTGGCAAAACAGTGCAGCATTATGGGCGCGTTCAAAGTCGCTCGTTCGGTGTACAACAAACTGCAACACCTGCTCTTCCCACGTAACCAACAGCTTCGAGAATCCGTTGCCATCCATTCGATAATCAGTAGGTCAAAGCCGTTTGTTGATGCAGAAGATACTGAGCTGCCGTGCTATGCGTGTACAAGCATGAATCCTGCTCTGACTAAGAACAACAGGTGTACGTCTTGCGGCCATGCGTTTGTCTATTCACTAATCAGTTTCGAGGTCCTTCCCGTCATTCCGCTGGTCAATGAGTTGTTAAGTGAAGAAGAGTTTTCAGAGGCGCTTGGCGCAGGAAAGCTTTACCGCGACGCGGAATACCGCGTGGTACGCTCCGGTGGTCAACCGTTAAATCCTCGAGCTGTCCTCACCGTATCAAAGCGACCACCATTTTTGCCTCAGTACTTTCTTAACGTGATGCCGGACATCCCAGTGAGTTATTGTCGGGGTTGTTACCAGCTATTTTCAAGTGATGATTTCGAAATAAGCACTCTGCAGTACGGTCATTGTCCGTTCTGCAGAACGTCTGCCGATGAATTACACAACAACTCCATGACCTAGAGGGAGCTTAAACTTTTTTCTTTTTGTTGAAGTATCACGAATGTAATATGCGTTAAATCGTACCAATTATATTTTTTACGCCCAAACCTCATTTTGTTGGCGATTTCTTTCGGGAAAGACCTTTTATACACCAATGCACACTTCCTGTGATTGATGTCATATATTTAAATTGTACTTCATTATCGCGAAATGACTAACTCGCTTTTATTAGCAGTGAATATTCACTAGAAGGGATTCTTATCTAAATGTATATAAATTTAAAAATATAAATAGCTTGAAACCGGCTTATAAGTAATAGCCTAGGAAGGAAAGACCAGATATTACTATTCAAAAATAAATTAAATGGAACCTGTTTATTGTTGAAATATTCTAGGTTGTATACATGTAAACACTCAATCCTATACACTTCAACAATGGAATCTTCTCTATATTTCTTTTATAAAATGGTACCTACCATTCTACTAATTAGATTAACGAACGTGTTAGGGATAGTCATAACGGAATAAACGATTGGTTTAAATGATTGAAATATCCCACGGTCCGTTGTAGGTAATCTGGATACATTCTGTGAATTCGCCCTCGGACAGATAAGCAACTGCTTTGACAATACACGTAAACCATCTTAATCTTCAGGCACCAATCGAGCGTCACGGGCCATTTTATAGAACTGTGTATTAACGTCTTCAATAAGAGCCAACGGTCTCCCTTTCTCTATAATTTCTCCCGCAGACATCACTACAACCCTGCAACAATATAAAGTATTAACCACACGAAGAAACATACGAGATTACCATCAATGTTGCGCATTGTGCTGTACGGATATTATGTAGGACACAGTAGCTCTTTCACAGCTGCGTAAAAATCAAATGGCTTGTCCACGGTAGAAATGCTTGAGAAGAGAATAGTTAACGTGGTTCTCTTCAGAATGGGACTTTACACAGGCGCCAGTGTACGCTTTCGTAAACGTCTCGATCAATTTAACTGCCTGTTACGATGGAACTCTGGTGGAAAGTCGGGTTTCTACAAATAAACCCTGTCTCCGAAAATAAGCCGGGTTTATTCTTATAAAACTCGAATATTTTGCTTATACTATTAATGCAGATTCAGTGCATTATCGGTACACATTGTCTCGCTCTCTAAAAAAAGTGTCGAAAAAAATGTTCACGTCCATTTAAATACCGACAAGGCAATTAAGGAACAACTAACATGTCATAATCGAGGATGGTCAAAAGTCTGTGAGCCACAGTAATTATAGTTGAATTACTGAAGACCTCGCGGATTGTCGTTTGTATCAGCAGATCAGTATGCAAGTCTACGGCTGCAGTTGCCTCGTCAAGAACGAGTAGCTTCGACTTGCGGAGTAGTGCACGTCCCAAACAGACCAGTTGCCGTTCACCCAGAGACAGATTAGACCCACCTAGAATATAACATGAGAAATAAGAAGGCGTAATGCCATACAGCTATTGTTATAGGTAAAAGAGATAGAGTATATTAGCAACTGTTTGTAGATTCAGGTTAACCACATGAGCACCAAAGTCATGAAAATGTTAGAAATATCCATACTAGTGCTACACATTCGCAGAAAATGAGAAACAATATTAATCATTTACAGGTTACGGATTGAAGAAGACAGAAGATGTTGCTCACTGATCGTGGCTATTTTGCAGACAGGTCACCAATGGTCATGGACCACAGTATCTACAAATACCCGTAGAGATAATTTAGAATGGTCAATTAGTTATTAAGTTAACACAGATTATGTGTTCCCAAGAGGTACCAGCACTAGCTTCGTTACCTTCAGTAATGACTGTGTCAAGGCTTAGGTCATGTCTAAGATGGGCCGAACGTGCTGCTCTTTCAATGCTTTCATCAGAAAACACCCCGTCTGGGTCAAGATTAGATCGAAGCGTTCCTTCAAACAAAATGGGATCCTGGGGGATGATTGTCAGTCGTTTCCGGAGGTCGTGTAGCGCTAGTTTAGACGTATCTATGCCATCAATCAGTATCTGACCACTTGCAGGCTCGATGATTCGAAATAGTGCGAGAGTCAGTGAGCTTTTGCCCGCACCGGTTCGGCCAACTACACCAACTTTATGACCAGGCGGGATTTTTAGGTTCAGATTTTTTAGACAAAGATTCTTGCTGTCTCTGCATGAAGAAGCGACAAAATACAACACAATGCGATCTCAAAAATTTTAGTTTTATTAATCCCTCACATTTTAAGTTTTATATGCTTACTCCCTTCAGCTAAGTTCGTTTCCATCATTTTCTAACGACGCTGTTTATTAAAGATCGCAGTAAGATAAAATGTCTATATTAGGAACAATATTCAGGTGTCGTTTTTTGGTAAATATAAGTGAATTTATATAGTTTTATTAGCAGAATTTGATTGTCTTCAAGCTATTCTTAAAATTTTCCTTAATATTTTATAGATATTTGATTGCAGAAAAAACTAGAGCCATCCAATGAGACTAATCTATTTACTGATTTCCGTATAGATCTCAGACTGTTCCGCAACTTTGTAAGGCTAATTCAAGTTATAAAACTTGTACCTTTACTTTTTAAACGGAATACGGAAGTAGTAAGCACGACATTTTCTGTTTAACGCTAAACGAATTTCGAAACAATGTACGGCTATACTAAGATGTACATTTTGAGAATGCGTCTATCAGGCGAATCGAGAAAATGAGACAAACCCATATCTGCTTGAGTAATTTTTGAATTCGACCAGACCCGCAGAAGGCCACACTGCAGGCAGGACCATCAGTCCTTTAGTCCACGAAGCCTCAGGAGCGATCTTTGAGTATTCGATTAGGCGTTCAGCTGAGACAATGCTACCCTCCAAAATGGTGCAAGACTCAACAAAACGTGACATAAATCGAGTTACCTAATACGATTCCAAAAAAAATGGTCAAACTTGTTATAACAAATGTGGCTTTCAGTGAAAAGGGTCAGATGGCAGAACGTATAAGAAAATCGGCCAAATCGAACTACTTCCGAATATAACGTAATAAACAATTCATTTTTAAAAAATCGTTTCACTCAATTACCAAAAAAGACATGCTGAAAATTATTGACATGACAAATCACTCACAGTCATTACGTACGACACAAGAAGACCTACACGGGCAGGTCCGAGATCCTCGTGGTTATAGACAAGCAGCATACACATGGCTAAAACTACAAGAGCATTGATAAGATCGATACGAACAGTCGCCCATCTAAAACAAAGAAACAACCACGGAACGACGATTATGGCTCCAAGCAGCCTAGAATTTCTTACTTTGTTATCTCGAAGTACGCTCAGATAAAAAAATGTATTTTTTCAGCAATAAGCAGTATTCACTTATAAAGCACCTATATTATTGCCATGTTTCGCCTCAATCAGTGGTATGGCCATTCATGGCCATTTTTATGGTCCCAGTTTCAGTCAACTTCTGTTGTACAGTTTGTTTGACGTAATTCGCGCCGAGATAATCCGGTGTTTTGACAGTCTACAAACAGCAGGTGACAATGGAGTAACTTTCTCAGCAGAACGTTTTTTCTTCCATGCCGTCGGTGCTACTTACCGAATGGTGATCAGGCTGTGAAGGAACGTATTCTGACTGACGTTAATCCGAAGATGATTTCTTTCCAACAACATTTCTTCAGCCTCAAATGCTCTAATTACAGAGACTCCGTATAATGCTTCAGAAAAAGCATTGAGCACTGGTGAAAGACTTATGAGTGCCAGACGTCTGGATTTCCGCGCAGCTTCCAAAAATATTTTCTATAAGAGAAATTAATAGTTATGTTATGAGTTGTTACCTTTATAAAGGAACTATATCTCTTGAATATATAACAGTATTACTTTTATGCAAATTACGGTTTGCGCCAAATCCATTCGAAATAACTGCTTCTGTAAAAACTTCAGTTCAACAGCTGATCAATATAAGATATTTTTCCGTTTTCATTTCTCCTGAATTTCCAGAATCAACCAAAGTGACTAGAAATAGGGAATCTATTTAGTTGATTTTATTTTATAGTCTATTTTATCCAGCATCTCCACTGCTTGTCGTCATTAATGTTTTTTCATTCTAGTTCAAGTTAAATCATGTAGGTGTTTATACGAAATCTGAAACAAATCCGGTTGTAAGCACGTTCTCATAAGGTTCGGCAAATTCGCAACAAATGTAATGTTTGTCATGCATAGTAAATCAGAATTTAATTAACAGCATAGCAAAATGTAAAAAAAATACTACTCAGGGTTCGAGGTATTATCGTGCAACGTAAAAATCGAGTAACAGCTCGTACTATGACAGTATATAATAGCGATCACAATTATAACAGGTTCATTAAAGGAAATGACCCACCCTGACGTACATGAAGGCCATTGCGCCTGGAATAACGAAAAATACCATTACTGGCAATTGGTAAGTCACAAGAAGCGCGCAACCGATGATAGCAAAGAGAAACGCGATGAAGTCGTCCAGGGCACGATGAATTTCTAGATCCATGACGGTCACGTCGTTACTGAAGCGATTTATAATTCGACCCACTGGCGTCGTGTCAAAAAAATTCAGTGGAGCGCGCATCACAGCCGACAGCATATCTTTGTGCATGTTAAAGGCTGCCTTATGGCAGCCCAATGATAGAAAAAGAAATCCAATAAACACAGAAAAGGTCGAAGCGCCGCCGAGCGCGATGTATATTTCTAAGCCCTCAGTCATAATAGCGTGATACGCTTCTTCTTTCTCCGGATCTGATAGTGTCGAATTTCTCGACATTTCGTAAATATTGGTCACCCATTTCCTTACCCATACGTTGCTTCCTATCTGGAAGAGTAGATACGTGTTAGTAAACTATTTTACTGTAGCTCTTTCTAGAAAAGCTTAAAGCCGGCCAACACGAGGACTTGAATCCAGCTAGTTTCTCTGGGGTCCTACATATATTTATGTCATCTTCATCCGCTCATAATAAAAGAAAATAATTTAGCTACTCCGCATGCACCTGGCGGAAGAGCTAGGGAAAACAAGTAGGCTGAAAATAAAAACAATTTTATAAGTGCAGTATTCTAGGAAACAGGGGGAAAGTTTTGGCGCAAAAAGGCTACAAAAACTAAATTACTAATCGCCTGTTTTACATTTGATACATGCCATAGTACACCAAATTTTATCAGAAACGGACTTTTTGTCCCGGTGATTTCCCTCTATAAAATCATAAATGGAAATTTCTAGAGTTTCCACGTGACTGCGGTAGTATTTTTCAATCTTTCACGTCCACTTCGTTGGCCACTCATTGGCCACCTAGGTTCGTAGCTCGATAGATTACTTCACAACCTTTAGAATCGTTCTCTAGAAAATTGTACTGATTTCAACACGAACTCACATCAAATCCGCGGTACGCAGCATAGCCAATCAGGAAGATTACTACAGTAATGATCCCAATGTACTTCACTAACTTCAAGTAGGTTGACCAACCAGACTGCAACAAGTATCGCAAAGCATTACTCACATGGTAAAACTACTACACTTTATAATTTAGGAGAAACTAAAATTATCCCCTGCGCAAGAGCGGACTTGTTTTAGTTATTTAAAAAAAAAAAAAAAAAGTAACAACTACGTTAAATAGAAAAAATAATTTTTAGGTAGCAATATTTTTATACGCGTCGTAAAATACAAGCACTGCAATAAATAGTGTCAGAACGATGTTGTAATAATTGTGTTGCTTTTATTTTAACACCACGGTAGCTCGGACGGTTGAGAACTCTAAAGCCACCGGTTCAACTCTCGAGGTGGAACATATGGGCTTTGCCCGGCAGTTTATGGGCTGATGAATAACTAGAACACAAGTATAAACATTCAATATAACAGACTTAACCTAGCGATCTGAAGTGTTCAATCCGATCGTTAATTGATACGTGATCGGAAAATTAGACCATTATTCTATATAGAAAATTAGTTCACGCGTGATCCATGACAAAGCTCGAATAAGCGGCCCTTCAGTTCGCCAGTCAGACGCTCAGCTTTATAACGACACCGTTACAGCGCTTCAAAATTCCATAAAGTACTGTACTTATCAGAGCATATTAAACATATCTACAGGGGATTAAAAATCGAGTAGTGTCTCATGAACCTTGTTTTTCAAGACCGTTGCCTAATAATAAAAAAAGGGCAAAACACGTAATATAAAACACCCGGTCCGGTGTAGGTTTATCTCATTACCGCTAAGCAACTGTTTTTGAATTTTTGTTTTTGGGCTAAATTCCACCCTGCTCGTTTTGCCTTCTTACATTCGTCCGATCGAGCTACTATACCTCAGAAACTAAAGGACGCAGCTGTTGGTGTTCCCTACAATTCCTGTTGCGCTGGCGGCCTCCTCGGCACGCAGTCGCTTGTCGCTGTTGATCTCAGCCTTGGCGTCCGCAGCTGCGAGCTGAAGAAACGATAGGACCCGCGTAGACTGAAGATCCGTTAAATCAGTGGCCTCACCCGTGCGACAGACCCTACGGAGATCGAGTTTATTCTTGAGCTCCTCAAATGTACCCATGTGCGCGATACGACCGGCGTCCAATACAACAATTCGATCACAGAACGGCAGGAAGCCTGTATTGTGCGTAGCGAGAATCCTTGTCGTTCCTTTCAACATACCACTATTTGAGATCACCTTAAAAAGCAAATATATTATGCCAAAAAAGCGAAAACGTTTGTTGATGGCCAAGACTGTGGGTCCAAGTCAAAGTTGCACCACCTCATGATTGAAGTTGTTACCGAAAATGCAGCAGTGCGAAGTCTTGGAAAATCTCACGCTCATGTCAAGATTCTTCGATAAAACCAATTCGAGAATTCCTTTCTAATCACGTTAAGTGTACTATGAAAAAATACAAACCCCGCGGAAAATCTTCTCTGCGACTGCGCTATCGAGCGCACTTAGAGGGTCATCAAAAAGATTTAAATCCGATTGGCTGTAGACAGCTCGGGCAATGCTCACTCGTTGTTTCTGACCGCCCGAAAGAAGCATACCTCTTTCACCCACTTCACTGGCATCTCCTTGGGCAAAAAGTTTTAGATCTGTTTCGAGGCAGCATTTTGTGATCACTTTCGAGTACCGCCGTTTATCGAGACGATACTTAAATAGAATATTTTGTCTGATCGAGCCTTCCTGTAGCCATGCTTCTTGTGGTACATATGCTTTTTTAACCTTGCGAACAGCTATTTTTCCAGACCGTATGTTCATTTCATCAAGGAGCGCTTGAATTAGGGAGGTTTTACCAGCACCCACCTGCCCCAAAACAGCGATTAGCTCGCCATGCTTTACTTGAAGATTAATGTCTTTTAGGGCGATAACTTGACCCCAACTGAATGTCGCTTTGCGGATGTCAATTACAAGTGAATCATCTAAAATTAGCAACATACTGTACATTAGCATCTTTTCTAACTGATACGATTCAGAAAAGTACCCCCCAGCAACAGTTGTTTTGCTGTTTATTTTTTTCTTAGAGAGCGCAAGTCGCACAAACCTCCTGTATGTAGAGACTAGTACCTTCGAGCTCGCGATCAACGGTTTCAACCATATCCTCACAATGTAGAAAAGTCTCCATCCTTTTAACAGCCGTTCTTGCCTGAACGAGTCTAGATATTACTATAGGCAACTGAGTAAGGTAAGCTCGAAGAGTGCCGATTAACATCAGCATGGCAAAAGTCACATCTGGCGTAAGCGGGTAGTCGCCGTCCCAGAATAACAAAATACCGAATGTTGCTATTACGATCTGTAAAATACACGACAACCAAGAGGTGAGACAGTAAGTTAATCGGACGAGGGGCATGCCACAGTCCACGTAAGAAGTACCGTATAATCAAAGATTTGAGCATTGATTCACAATTGTGTTACCTATAAATTTAAAAAATTTATAGGTAACACAATTGTGTAAGAAAATAAGATAAAAATTTAGAGTGCCAGCGAATCAGCAAAATTATGATTAGGAGAAAAGTCTTTCAGTAATAGTTGGAAATCCTATAGAACTTACAAGAAATGGACTGCTATTCCACACAACATTTGCGACCAGCTCGAGCATAATGAAGCTCTTTAATATTCCTGACTCGCTATCCCGGAAATCGCTGATCTTCTTGGAGAATGCAATTTCCCAGCCAAATAACTTGATAATCTGATATGGCAAAACGACGTATAATTTCTTTTAGCTTATTTTGGCTGTTTGCATAGTAAAATTATTTAAATCATTTAAAAATCGATTTGAATAAATAAAAAAATTAAATAAAAATAAGCCAAGAAAACATTATGTTCTTTATCATCAAGGCACGTCAAAACAGGTAGTTAATAAGTAACTTATCTGTTTTGACGTGCCTTCACACAAAAATGCATTTAATTGTATATTGCGATTAAATGCATTTTATATGAATCTAATTCGGTTTGTATCAGAGGATCTGTTTAGTCACGTAATACCTGATATGCTACGTTTGATAGAAGCGCGCTGGTTAGCACAATTCTGCGCGAATGCTATAATTTCACCTTAGAACCGTACATCCACTTACTTTTATTCCTTCCATGACTTCGCTGACGATGTTCAGTCTTTTGTCCTTCTCCAACATACATGCACGCTATTAAATAAATCAATCATTTCATTAAAAGTTGCAAATATGGACAACTTGTTTTGCTGCTCAATTCGAAGGAGGTTCAGTTTATTACCTTTGGAAGCAGTAAACAAATATGCGTACTCAAATGTAGAATTCTGCACTATCGTAAAGCCCTCGATAAAAAAATGTTGAAACAACCTACCATAGCAACTTCTATGATTGTACGTGTTGTGTGAATACATACCAAGTTTATATAATAATAATAATAATAAGTCGGTGTTAGAAAAAATGATGTATTCTCAACCTGCCTTTTTCCCGCTAGTACCATATCGGTGTATTAAGCGTCAGAGCCGTTTCAGGATAATCTACCAAAACGTCATTCCTCTTCAAATGATCGTCCGATGAAAACCAACTCCATTCTATTTGTATGATATTTAGCAATAATTTGAGCAACAGAGTATCCGTCTGCTCTTCACCAATTCGATATTACCAGTCATATTTGACAAAAGCCAGAATAGACAAAAATCATATTCCACTTAACAGACCTATAGCTTCAGATATCCGGAACCCAATAAAAAGTAATTACGTGTTAAATTATGCACAATTAATATTTCAAATCGTGACTATGTAATCGCTTACGTTGATGCTATCAAGCTTAATAACGATGTAGATGCTGAGTGGGAAGAGTACGATAACTGCGGTAAATATACCGATCACTCCGGGTCCGAGCATGTCGTATGAGATGAAAAATCCGATCAGCATGCGTGTTGGAATACCAATCATTTGTCCGCACAGTTGCGTATATTGAAACAATTGAAGGATATCCACCGACGCAAAGTTGAGGATATCGCCTGGACTAAATCGTTTTCGTGCGTCACGATGAATCGTCAAACACTGGCGAATACACGGATGTGCACAAATGTTAGAGAAACCTATGCTTTCCTCTTCACTGCCTCTCTAGACTAGTACAGAGACCTGAACACTATATAAAATATACCATGCAGTCTACCGCATGGATCGAAGTCGATAGGTATCTATCTAGTTCATTACATCTCTTAGCTCTGTTACGTCATTCTATGTTCAGTAATTGTGTAAACGAAATTTTACAATAGCCCAGTGAGTGTACGGCCTAAAGCCCTAATGATATGAAAGCAGTGCAATCTAACAAGATTCCTTGATGCAGCAGATGCACGTAATAAACTAATATGTAATACTAAATAGAACTCTCATGAAACTGCACGATACCGGGCGGACGTTGTACACACTATATCACTAAAGTTTTGCTTTCAATAAAACGAAAAGATGGGTTGCAGAGTAGCATAGCGACTTGAATTACTTTGGTTGTATGACGATTAAGCTGAAGCCGCCGTATTACCGTCACACCACGATCTCTGGCTAAATTTAAATTCGCATTGGCCTATTGTTGAAAAGATCGCGTGAATTGTTTGAAACAAAGAACGGCACATTTGAGGAAACTGTCGCCTTGATTCTATCACGTCGAGACTAAACGTATTGTTTTTTTGTAGCGTTCATTGTTTTCGTTTCGCGTTGCAAAAACCGTACAGCTTTATGTCATCTGCGTTAAAGCTATGCCTTTCTTCGAAGATATGCAATTCCGTACCATATGTAGACTGTTGGCTTGAAAAAAACAGCAAACCTTATGATACAGGGAAGTTAAAAGGGCCGCGCGCTGTTGAAGCCCTCCACTGAACATGCGATAGAAGAGATGATTTACAAATATTGAGTACAACAAACTGATGGCAAACACGCCAAAACTCCAGTAATAAGCGGCTGGTATCGGAGATGGTCCCATCAACGATCGAATTAAATTCCTGGGAAAAAATTTAATCACAAAAACGTCTATAAGTTACTAATATGATTTCACCAACTTGGAGATAGGTAAGTGAAGAAAAAAGAGTACATTTAACCACCAACCTGACGAAGTAAATCGGTCCAGTATAAGTTATCACGAGTCCAACTTGAATAAGCAAAATTTGAAAGATGAAAGTGTGAAAGGCCCAAAGGAGCTCCTTCCATAGAGGTGCGCTTGAAATTGTTCCAGTACCTTTCTTCTTCAAGGACCTGTGATCGGAAGACTGGGGTCATTTATAGAAAACTATCATTGATAAAACCACAATCTCAAATATTTATATTATGGTAGAATAGAATGACAGTAAAACGGAGCAATAAAATTATTAGGATGCAAACATTGGCAGATAGTACGCGCAGGTTAACATATGAAGTGTAGTCCAGGCACATAACAAACGCACTATGGCAGTCCATAGACGAATTGCTAGAACCGCTAAGTCCGAGTAGGTGCCCAAGGTAAGTGGTGCCATTACTGTATTTCAATTAAACAAGCATAGGAGTACTTCTTATGCTTTGGGCAGTGCTGGTGAGCACCATACCTTCTAACATACAGCTGTTACTCAATATTTACACAAACAGTCTCTTCTTTGTTTGTTAATTAGTATTGACCACATAGTTACTCTGACAAAATATTATATATTACTAATGACTACTTGGGCTGAACATGAAAGAAGAATTCTATTCCTTTGCACGCATTTTAGACCTCAAATTCGTTTCATAAGCTTTTCAACCGTCTAATTCTACCGTCTTTGTCATATCATTGCTGCTCAGTGCGGAGCTGCAGACCCAGTGGGTGTCACTGGTTCAAACCCGAGCATCGACATTTGCGTCTATATAGACACTGTGTGGTCATACGAATACACCGATTATCGCTATTTATTACAGGCTCACTTATATTATGCAATGAGCTTCTGTTACTCGTGGTTACAATGCAGCTCAGCTTGTACGTGATAGTAAAACTACACTTGTTTTCCAAGTTTTTAGGCCTTTAAGGTACACAAAATCGAAAAACAAATTACATCAACATAAAAACTTCAACTCCTGCGAGGGGGCCGTCGTCGACCACATTATCAGGGGCAGTGATCTCATCCGGTAAAGATATTACAACAGTCATAATTTTAGCAGTACTTACTCAGCCGCAACTTGCAGCTGTTTATAGCAGACTTCAGCGGAGTACGAAGAATCCATAGGCAGCAGATCTCCCAGTCTTATATCCCCTTTATAGCAGGCCCACATGAATCTGCATCGGACGTTGACACTAGCTTAGTTCGTTCAATGTGGGGAGGAGCCAATACAAGTAAGGTCAAACTAACTAGGCCAGGAGCGGACTTAATTGGGTTAAATAAGAACATTTTAGTTGGGTCACTAGTAACAAGCTAAACATTGCCATTAAAGGTAGTCAGTTTTTAATAATTTTCTTGAAAAAATTACCACTTGAAACCAAATTCCTAAATCATGTCGGCTGCCTAAAGTCACTAATAATGTAATAATAATAATAATAAAATAAATCACATCAATAAAAGTACATAAGGATCGGCAGGGCAAAATATACTTTCTTCACGGATAATATGAATACATATATTTAAATTGCTATTTCGCTTCCACATCGATAAACGAAATATTATATGGATCGCTGTGTTCAAATAATTCTCCAGTACGACAGATCTGCTGTTTATATAGATTATAACCGAGTATAGGCCCCTCGAGAATTTCGGGGGCGTGCAGTTCGACGATTGTCATTATTGTTATTATTATTGTTGTTAATGTAACCACATTGTATTAGCTTTTGCACCGCGGCAGCAGCGTGACGAAATAAGTTACAATTGACATTAGCATAAATATCGATACGTACTTGTCAAAGTTGGCGAACGCTGTATACTGTATAATGTTGGCTTGTTCGTTTGTTAGCAGGGTACGTGCCTCCTCAGGGAACTCGTGGTCTAGTTCTAATTTTGCCGGAGGAGACTTCAGCTGTCTTTCCCGATAAGAACTTTTCATTCTTTCTGACTGAGTTTGCGCCTTGCTTTTTTTCATTTTGCCTTTCTTTTTCCCAAGAGTACTCTTTGTTTGATCAGCTTTGCTTGCGCCTCTCTTATCTTCGCTCTCTGAACTATTATCTTTACCTTTTGGTGCTCTAACCTTCGACTGCTTCGCACGAATGCTAGGAGTTGATTCGGATTCACTGGCAGCTTCTGCACCACGTAAGGTCCCGCTAGGCTTTTCTGATGATAACTCATTTTTATCTGAGGAAATTGACCCGAATAAATAACTACGTGGTGTATCAGGCAGTGAAAATTTGGTTTGCCCATCCGAGGTATTGGAACTTGCAGAATCTCCTGGCAAGTAAGACCTATTTTGGTCTACCGTTAGCGTCGCTGAAGAACTTCTGGACGTCTTGTTGTCCATTCGGGCCAAAAACAGAGCGTGCTATTTAGATAGTCCCAGATAAGGCTACCCAGCCAGGGCCTGTTTTTCAAATTTCAAATAAAAATTTGCACCTATACTATTTGTCGACTCTATAGCTACCAAACGATTCTTAACTAAACCACCTGTGTATTACGCACTCTTGAACTGTGTAAGCTAGAAGCCTTGAAATGCTTCGTTCGCCTCCCGCAATGACTCTCGGGGTCCGAACCTGACACAGTGAACGGCTACAGAGGTCAAAAGGTGCAACCGTCGAGTTTTCGAAGGCAACTTTGGTCTTTAAGGTTTGATACTCGGTCTTCATGGCATTTAGTTCTAAAAGCAAGTCGAGCATACATGGTTACTAGATTGTAGAAAGGAGATTACGCAGGCTATATATAAATATCACTGTTCGAGAAAAATGTTCGAACAAGAACCGGGTCTTTTACTCTAAAATCGTTTTTGAATTTAACACGAGTGTTACAAAATAGTCAAATATATCTTCTAGAAAGGTACTTTTTGTCCCTATTCACGTTTTTCGCTATCATAGACGGTAGGCATATCCGATAAACGGTACCGGAATCAGTTGCTCTATAGCCCTCGCTAAGTGATTGAGCGCAAATGCAGCTTCAATCGAAATTGCTTTATATTAAATCAAACTGCACTAAACGATCTCTGATAACTTTTTCAAAGACAGTGAAAAAAAAAAGTAATTTCAAAGTTAGAAGAAATGTTTTTTATTAGAACCAAATAAATGATTACAAGATCTCGTACAGTAAACAGGGATACGCTCATATTTATTATATTCCACTAGGTGCTGAGTTATTTGCAAAATTTGAAGATTGCTACGTTGTCTTAGCTATCTTCTGTGTCGATATCGACGACGAAGTTACTGCTGATCTTCGACATAGCGTATTGCCAATCTTTGCCACTCTTTATGTCCTGTAGCACTTTAAGGCAATGCACGACGTGAAGGGGCTTTTCCTCTTGCTCCCAGAGAAGGCGAACCCTAGCCGGAAATCGGGCACTGCGCACCTGAATATAAAGCACGCATTATTGTTGGTAGGTAAAGCTGTCAGAACGTGCGATAGAGTTAGCTTTACTAGATTTAATTCTAGCGTAGCTAACTTTGCGGAAGTCTGAAGTAAAACTAACTTAAGTGGCATTGCGACGCCTAATATAATTGCTTTCTTCTTAGTAGATTATAGCCGGATACTTAGACGAGCAGTTGACAGCCATTTACAAGGTATGAATCTTCAATATTGCCACTTATACATCATGAGTAAGTTAGGTATTAAGTGTTTACTCTGTGATGTTACACAACATACATGAAATGGTTGAACAAATTAAGTACAATAGGTCATCGCAAAGTTAGTTTTCATCCAACTTCGTAGCTAACAAATATCCTCTATTAGTAATAAATGAGTGGATGCGAGATTTATAAATCCGAAGCGGTCAATACGTGAAAGGTCATTTACAAAATAATGTGTAAAGCTTGCAGAATATGTCCAAATTTGTTAGTACAAAATATTATAGATAACCAAAGAAAAAATTAATTATTTCATAGGTTATGGCATTTAATTCCTTCCTGACTAAATCTGCCTCAAAGTGCGTAATCTACAATTTTTTAGGAACGGTCCTTACAAAATAGGTTAAATCATACTTCATTAACACGACGTATGCAAATAAGAATACTTTTTTGATAAAAAGAATCTCTTTTGATGTTTAACTGATGATCTCTTGATCCGAGATCGGCAGAAGGTTTCGAATTTTTCAGTTGCCAAATTATCTAAACACTGCATCTTGTTATGTTATAAAAAAAATCTCTACAATTAAGAACAAGCCAGACCAAAACTGAATGAGATGTCGCATCAACTTGCTTAGCAATAATAATGATAATTAGTATAATAAGAGTGTTTCTTCACACCCCCAATTGGCGAGCTCGTTTCAGAGATAGCCCTGGTTGGTACTCCTTGTCCACAAGTACCCCTAGAACATACACCTTGTCATCGTCCAGAGTCTCTAGTTCGTCCTCTCCTTGCGGACTGAGATAAACTATCTGCAAAAAATAAATCTGCTTATATAAATACATATTGTATAAAAATAAACCCTGAATCAAACGGGTGTCTCCTTTAAATGAGTACAGGCACAATAGAATACTATAATTATATTGAAAAAAAATATAATTTTACTACATCACTATTTCAACTTGATGAAGCGTCATGGATATAAGGCGATTAAAAACCAGCGCCATGCAAACATCAGATACGATTTTCTTTTATTTTATTTCGAATTTTTTTTTATTCAAAAAGGTAACATTTAATCTATAACAAAAATGACAGGCTTCTTTCCGATTTTTTTCTTGTACCACACACACATGTCGTTAGACTATAAAAACGATACAAACTGTTCCTTTCTCACCTGTTCACGTGGAAACATCTCGGTCACGCAACGGGAAGTGTATTCACAGGGAAATGTGATGCTGCGATTATTAATAAGCTTTTCGAGAAGATTACAAGAAGAAGTCGATGACTGACCTTGGAAATCGTTATTTTCAAGTTCAGCAAAACTACAAAATATCAAGTTAAACGGATCCGAACAACTGCGATTGTACGAATAGAGAGCTTTCACGTCAGCGGCAGCCTTCCTCGACTCACGGTCGCTCATGATATAGTCGTAGCCGAAATCCAACGCTAACTAAATACCAAATCGAGTTTAAATTGGCCAAAAAAGTATCTACAAAGATAAATCAACCCTAATCCTAGTAAAAAAAATGTTTTAAATCTGTCTGACATACTATAATATCAGGCATGAAGAAGCATTTAACAAACTAACGCTGATTTGTTGCGTAACTATCTTCATAACATCCTATTTTAGAGTTACGATTTTTACCACAACTACAAATCTAACCTACGTTTGCTACAATTTACTCACAAGAAAATACTCTAACAAATTCTATTAATTTACTTCGTTTCATCTCTTCCGTTCAGTACTCAACTAAGCTGCTTTTGACAAAGGACCTACCTTTTGCGCAAAAGGCATATTAGCAACCAGCCGCTCTTCGAAGAATCGATGCATACTTTTGTCTACGATGCGAATCATGATTGAATTTAAATAGAGCCCGTAATCTGCTAAAATATCGGTGGTAATTTTTGTTCTTGGCAATGGTTTAGTATTACAGGGAAGAGAATTGGGGTTCAGTTTCCGTTCCGCTTTCTCCTCCTTATAACGGAGATACGCCATGAATCGGCGTCGTCTAGCAAACGATGGTTTTCCAAGCAGTGTGAGCATATCATCTGAACTGATTTGTTTTGGCACAGTGTAGCCCCGATTGCGAGACTTATTGACGAAATATACCATCTGTCTCAATTGACTTCGTTTGATGGCATGATCCGTCACGAGGCTTCTGTATTGATCTACGAATAAAAGGTTGTTGTGCTTACTATTAGCGACCATCGAGTCTGTCTTTGGAGGAACTGCGAATGACTGCTGATTTTTCGTACACGAGCTGGTAGTCTCAGTGGAATGAATGTCGCTAGTGTTGGGCGCTGCCGTGCTTAAGGCAACGTTTGCACCGAACCGAACTACAGCAGATGTTGTACAGTAGTATCCCCTGAGCATAGCAACAGGGCTCCTAATACCTTGTGACATGCCTGTAAAAAAGACGGTTGTTCGCAATCAAACGATTTGTTTTTATTTCGCTATCTGAATCAAACTGAAATTTGCGGTGAATAAATAAAGCTAGTACAATAAATACGCCTGTAAGTGCCCGTAAAATTCTGTCGTTGACTTTTACGTGAGGCGTGTATTATGCACTGGAGCCGAGAGGAAACAACGAAAACCAAAGGCAAATCAACGAGTTTAAACATTCAATTAGCATACACTAGAATTAACACTAGAGAATAAGAGGACACCAAAAGCGTACAATACCCAAACATTACGAAACACCGTAACATTTACATTCTAAAATATCAATGATTATGAAAAAAAGACACTATTAAGCATTTGTAAAATCGATGTGACAGATCGTAACGCGTTTTTTTTTGTTTAAAACAATGCTTAAAACAGTACCGGATGTTAACTCGAAATATGTAACAGAAAGTGTAATAGAAGAAACGTATAATGATATAGATTGATATTGTGAGGATTAAGGCCCTTAAAGGTCATACTAAACAGATAAATTTGTGCGAATAATAAACGGAGAAGAACTTATATATAAGAAGATATTAATTTTCAGTACTTTTGGTATCCGAAAAAAAACAGTACGTTATAATTTTTTATTCATATCACAAAATACGATTACTAAAAGCTTAGGTTATGCTTGTCACAGACTTAAACGACTAAAGGAACCCCGCCACTTAACTTTAATCTCCTGTGCGCCAACGTCACCGTGTACACATACAAGAGTTTTTCGTTTTACGGATGGATACAGGTGTAATCTTCCAGAATTCGTATCAAGCGCCGACAAACAGCACAAAGGATAGGGCCAGCCGTGCGGAGTATCGACCGACCAATATGGGTAAATAGAGTATGGTTGGAATCTACCTACGTGGCGGTACAAACGTGTGTATACATTACGTATACATGAAGAAGTTTTTGATGGTTGATGTACGAATTGTACGAACGAATTGATGTACATTGATTGTATGAACTGTTTTGGACCTACATCATTACCTGTTACTCGACTAGTAACTCGATATTTTTTTGTATGAAGTCTAACATGTCTGAAGCTTTTTCTAATCCAACCCTGTACCTTTAATGTAGCTCTTCAGCTAAGAGTCCCGGTGGGGATCTACTGGGGATCGTATAGAGGCGAAATGAAATGGGATCGCCTTTTTCAAAAAAAAAACCTAGTGGTCAACTGTTAAGCACTGTTGTAAAACGTTCTTTGCTTTCCAATTTGTTCTCATCATTTCTTTATGATGGCGTATTTTTATTTAGAGTTTGTACTCTAAATGCGATACATCACTTCTGAAAGATAACAATTTTGACATTTGTAAGTAAGTAGTGAAGCTTCTTAAAATTTAGAATATAAATTTTTAAAAAAATCACCGAAATTCCGTGAAAGCAGCAAAATAGTCACGAGAAACGAAACCACAAGTAATTTAGAAGCAATCTGTTTCGTGCGAGTTGTCTATGAGAAACCATTGTAAAGCACGAATCCACAAGACTCTTTCGCATTAAGAGGATTTTGCAGACGACACTGTTAATCAGCGATAGGCTGACAAGCTCCACGTATGTAGAGAAAAAATTTAAATTTATTCCTAAGCACTGGTTTTTAAATAGATTATTGGCTAAAGCTTCGGTCTAGTTGAAGCATGTGTTGGTTCAAGAGAGCGAACAATGAAATCTAAATTACTATAATACATGACACAATCGCTAAACATTCGACAAATATATTAAAGATTTATTTTTCTTCAATACGGTTACACAAGGTTTTTTGTTTCTAGTTGTTTCGAGATATGACCATCGAGCTATTTTTTTTGTAACAGTTACATTTTGTCGCTAATAACACTTCACATTGCACCATTATGCGTTATTTGATATGCAATATAACAGCTGATATATTTTTTATTCATAATTATATATCCGCTTAGCAACAAGTGAGGTTGGCACTGACTTAAAACTAGTGGTCCCACAGGAGTGTGTGAAATGATAGACATTCAACTAGATAATTCTGCTACGCTTCAGTAAAGATAATAAAATAGTAAAAATCAACCATTTTTCGGTTCCAAATACTTGCTGTTACAAATATCACGAGCAGCGACACACGACTTCAAGCACATGACAGAAGAAGCAGCATCTTACGTCTTTTTACCGAAGATTTTACAATAGGTCATACCGGCAGTCCTTTCACGTCTTTTTATGTTAATTGCTTCCCATCAGTCCATGAAATCGAACACATGTACATTTTCAAAGTCAAATAATAATACATTCCCATTTTGGGCTTATTTTCTTAGCTTTTTGTTGCTTCTTATTAATAATGTTGCAGTTACCACAGCTTTCACCATATGTTAAATCATATCACGAAACACTGAATGGGATAATTGCACTCTCCGAGCGTTGCCGTAAAAAGAAATATTGCAGAAGTTTGGTCTCTCAGGACAGCTGCTTTTGACTCGTAGGTAAATTCATAACTACATATTTATACGTTAATTTCGCTACGTCCCTCAAGAGAATCGCTGTGGCGCTGCAGAACGGGTTGTACTTCTGCGGCAAGGAATTCTAGAACTTGTCCCGGAGCCCGACCCACGAACGTGCTAGCGTCTAGAAGACCGTTAATCTTCGAATGAATTGGGGCGAAGTACGGGTCAGTCTTAATGCGATCTACGAGGTCATTATCTTTTCCGTGTTCTTTAACCTGAGCAGCCGCCTGATGGCTGAGCACACGGATTTTTTCGTGGCATTCCTGCCTATCGCCGCCAACTTTTACCATTGCCATTATTACGTTTTCTGTAGCCATGAATGGTAATTCCTGGTCTATATGCCGCTGAATCACTTTCGGGTATACGACTAGACCTTCTGTGACATTTTGTAGAGTATTCAGAATGATGTCAGCTGTGAGGAACGCCTCAGCCAGACACACCCGTCGATTAGCACTGTCGTCGAGGGTCCTCTCCATCCATTGAGTTGACTGCACAAGGTCAAAATATTGCTGTTAGTTAATTCTATCATATACATATATATGTGTGTATGCTATATATTCCATCCTAATATATTGTTTACTCTATAACACAAAATATCGAGATCAGTTTTTAACGTCACCTGAGTTTGAAGTGGATTCATTATAAGACTCATTAAATGCCTTGCGAGAGAGCAGCATCTTTCACTTCGCATTGGATTTCGCTTGTAGGCCATAGCTGATGATCCAATTTGTGTCTTCTCAAAAGGCTCTTCCACTTCCTTCATGTGTGCCAGCAGTCGAATATCAGTACAGATCTTGTGGACTGACGCACCTAATGATGCAAGCACCGATAGGATTTCAATATCCACCTTACGACTATATGTTTGGCCACAAATGATGAGTGACTTAGTGAAACCTGCCATCTCTGTGACCCGTTTGTCCAATTGTTTCACCTTTTCTTCGTCCCCTTCAAATAGCTGAAGAAACGACGCCTGCGTTCCGGTAGTTCCTTTCACGCCTCGAAAGCGCAATTCGCTGCGCACTCGCTGCAGGTTATGAATATCGATTAGGAGGTCAGTCAACCAAAGACAGGCGCGTTTGCCCACTGTCGTAAGTTGAGCTGGCCTGCGTCGCAACAAGAACAATGATTCGACGTAAATCATTTCATGTTATTCGGAAGCCACTATAGTAATGTTACAAGATTACTGATTAGAAAATACCAATCGAAAACAATATCCAGGTGTTAGATATTGCTCTGTTTATTCATTAACACAATAATGGCATAGTCATACTCACTGGAAATGGGTGAACCCGAGAGTAGGAACCGCAGCGTACTCTTTCGCAAATTTTGCCAATCGATCAATGCATCTTGCAATCTTAGGAACAAGAATGTCGAGTCCATCTCTCAGTTGAATCAAGTCAGTGTTGTCACCAACGTAGCAGGAAGTGGCACCTAAATGAATAATGGGGGCCGCCAATGGACACTGCTGTGCGAACACATGAACATGTGCCATCACGTCGTGTCGCGTCAATTTCTCTTCAGCTGATGCAGCCTGTTGGTGATCATGATACAAAGTGGGCATTATTTACGTTGAAGAAATAATCGTCGTTTGCCAGGTGTGACCAGTTTGAAAGATTAGTAGCTTATTACATCATTTCACACTTGTACCCACTAGATGTTTTTGGAGCTGTGATAAAGTTTCCCTGCTGCATTTCAGTTAATGGCTTTAACGTTCAAAACCAAAGCTGTTGTGAGACGTATAATTTAATGGTAAATAAATATAAACAATAAATCTAGCTGTTTGTTTTATACGCTTGTCGAGCATCAGCAATTATTTTTCGCTGCTTTTCGTCGCATTAACATAGAAAGACAGTTGACCATGTGCTTAGGATAGGAGTAATAAATTTTCACTCTAGAAAGTTATAGACAGGTTCCGTTTAAATAAACGAAACAATGCGTTTCTAGATTTATTCAATATCCGTACCTTGTTATATGGGGTTTCGGTTTCCTGGTGTGTACTATTAGGCCACAAAGTTAACACAATTAAAGGACCAAAGCTAAGTTAAGGCTGGAACGACATCCCTAGATTACAGGACAATGATGAACTGGCAAAAGCTGACCAATTCTAAATCACTAATGATTAAATAATTTGTAATCACTCGAAAGCGAAACTACTAGCAATCTGAACGCCCAGCAACTTCGAGAACGACGCTATTAAGAAAAATATATCTTTTGTGCTAAGCTTTGTAAGTTGTTAGGGAGATCATCTAAATAGGATCTTTTAAAGTGCTTACAATAAATACAAAATGAGTTTTATTGACGCAATGCTGTTAATATTTTGTAAGTTTTAACTTGAACTTTGAAAGAGGTCTAATATCGTAGAACAATTATGCCTGGCCTTCCACGTAGCGCAAACTTACGGCATAATCGATTTGGTTAAATTTTCTTTCCATCTCAGAAATCTGCTCATCTCGAATTGGCAAGCCTACAAAGAAAAAATAGAGTAATTTTTATTATTGATATCATTGTCAGTAAGATTTCTTTTACCATCATATACAATAATCTGTATATATGCAAGTAGTTTCTGATAATTTTCCAGCTATTAGTTTAATTCGCGTTTCAATGAATAGGCTCAATGGCACGGATAATAGGTCCATCGGTTCTGTAATTGATTTGTTAAGTGGGCTAATCTTTTTATAATCTTCATCGGTCAAATCACTCAGAAAAATAAATTACTGCCAGAAAAAGCTTATCGAAATTAATTACCGCTGTTCTCTTCAATTAGGCATAGTTTGTAATTAGCGCAACAGTGGAGTAAGTTTGACAAAGTTATCTTTCAGCGTACGCTTTGATACATATTTGGTGTCCTCGAAAGTAACTAAAAAGAACAGAATTGGTTTTGAGTTCTTCTTTTTTTTCGAGCGGCTCTTACGTCGGCAGAATGATTATATTAGTGCAGGTTTAGTCGTTAAACTATTGGTCAAACTAAATTTTCTTTTTCCTGCAGTCACTTTTTCTATTCCTCACTACATAGTCAGTTTAACGTAATCCTACCATCGGGTCATATAGCCGCTTACGACATTTACATTCTTCATCAATATGGGAACGATTAGGCATTTTTCTTAGTAATGCTGATGGACTCTTTCTTTGTCAGCGAACAGCCTCACACCTTATTCACCTGTTCTGTGCCTTTTTCCTTCGTTAGCCAACTAAGATCTAGAGTTCCAAGACTTTGCTTTTTTACGTGATTTGGTGCACCATTTCTCTAAGAACTTCAATAAAAATAGATAGAAACAAACCTTGAATAAAAACAAATCTAATGTTGATAATAGTAACATCTGAATGATCGGCGTTCTTCAGTCGACGGCAATGAAAGGCCAAGTTTGTATTACCCAACACCCATTTTGGCATCCTGACCAGCTTTCTAGAAATGATTTTTGACGACTGAGCTTTGATAAGGCCCATTAAATCACTAAATAGACAATGAATTGCCACATTTGTGCGCTATATATA